GGCATGCGCCTCCTGTTTGGCGACCCCGCTCCCATCTCTGTGTGGAGTGAGAGACAAGTGCCCAAAAATAATAACAATTGTAAACCGCTTTGTGACTCTGGTCTGTGAAAGGCGGTATATAAATAAAGATTACTTACTACTTACTACTACTACAAGAAGGGGGACCGGAGGGTGTGTTCCAATTATCGTGGGATCACACTCCTCAGCCTCCCCGGTAAGGTCTACTCCAAGGTATTGGAGAGGAGGCTATGGCCGTCGGTCGAATCTCGGATTCAAGAGGAGCAGTGTGGTTTTCGTCCCGGCCGTGGAACACTGGACCAGCTCTATACTCTCCATCGGATACTCGAGGGTTCATGGGAGTTCGCCCAACCTGTCCACATGTGCTTTGTGGATTTGGAGGAGGCGTTCAACCGTGTTCCCCGGGGTGTCCTTTGGGGGGTCCTCCGGGAGTATGGGGTCCGGGGTCCTCTGTTGAGGGCCGTTCGGTCCCTGTATGACCGGAGTCAGAGCTGTGTTCGCATGGCCGGCAGTAAGTCGGACCTGTTCCCGGTGCATGTTGGCCTCCGCCAGGGCTGCCATTTGTCACCGGTTCTGTTCACTTTATTCATGGACAGAATTTCTAGGCGCAGCCAGGGGCCGGAGGGGGTCCGGTTTGGCGACCACAGGATTTCATCTCTGCTGTTTGCTGACGATGTTGTCCTGTTGGTTCCAACGAACCAGGACCTGCAACATGCACCGGGACGGTTTGCAGCCGAGTGTGAAGCCGCTGGGATGAGAATCAGCACCTCCAAATCTGAGGCCATGGTGCTCGACCGGAAAAGGGTGCCTTGCCCTCTCCGGGTGGGTGGAGAGGCCCTTCCTCAAGTGGAGGAGTTCAAGTATCTCGGGGTCTTGTTCACGAGTGAGGGAAGGATAGAGCGCGAGATTGACAGGCGGATCGGTGCAGCGTGCGCAGTGATGCGGTCGCTGTATCGGACCGTCGGGGTAAAGAGGGAGTTGAGCCGAAAGGCAAAGCTCTCAATTTATGAATGGATGGATGGATGGATGGATTCTAATATATAAATAAGTAACAATCTTGACTATTTTATGCAGGAACCTGCTAGACCTATATTGAAATTCACACACCAAATTATACCGCAATATGAACTTTAGGCCATATCGCCCACCCCTAGCAAGACGCTTAACCCCACTTTGCCAGAAGCCCCCACTGAAATATCAAGGCAGCTCAGAATAGAGCAGCTTCCCTCCTGTGGACTCACCACCTGCAGGAGGATCAGCGATGGGCTGGTGCTCTGTGTACTGGGTGCAGCTCTGACTGCCACCCCCCAACCCAGAAATGGATTAAGGGGAAGAAAATGGATGGATGGATGGATGGATATTTGACCTCAAGGAGAGAGCACTGTGAGCAGCCTCTGTTTCCTGACTGGATTTACAACCACATTCTGTTGTAGTGAGTACAGAGATGAATGTATATTCCCATTTGTCTGCCAATAAAGTAATCAAGCCTCATCATGCAAAACACGATGTTACCACAAGCATGTTGATGCCTGGAGTATAAAGTACAAAAACACTACAGCAAATTCTGACACTGATGTACAAAAGGTACAACAGCAACTACAGCAGCAACTGCTATAATCAGAGACCTCTGATTCATGTCAAATCATCAGCACAGTGACAAGTAGTAGCTCTACACATTAGGAATAATATATCACAGTGAAATGAGGCCAAAGCTTCTGCATGGGCTCTATCTAAAGGCAAATATGTGAGAGCAGACCATCCCAATCACACTGGGGGAGAGGGAGCCCAGCCTGGCACATGTCAACACAACTCCACAAGACCTTCATCAAACTCCAAATAGGAAACAAATAATACATAGTTCCTACATGACGTCACTACATACGGGGTTTGCCGACCCGGCGCCATTTGTATTGGCATGCTGTGGGCAAAACAATAGAAAAAGAAGCTGAAACGTGTTAATGTCGTGATAAAGTTGAAAATGGTCATCTCCTGCTGGTTCAATGGATGTTCAAATCGTGCCGGAGGTTCCGTTAAACTTGGATTTTACAGTATACCCATCATTAGACTTCATGAATGTGAGAAGACTAAGCTTTTGTCAGAACAACGACGGAGGTTATGGCTTGCGAAGATAAACAGGCAAGAAACTCCCTCAAAACACGCAAGAATATGCTCGGAGCACTTTGTGTCAGGTGCGTATCGTATCTCATAATGTGTTGACAGACGTAATTTACTCAGTACTAACTTGTGTATGCTGATAGCTGGTAACTTGAGAGTTTCATTATTTAGCGTTAGATTACTTTATTATGAGGAGGATCGGTGTCGCGTCCGAGGCTCCCGAGGGCAACGTAAATGTATTAAATAGATAATAATAGTTCTGTGGTGGGCTAAAACAATGTTCACAAACAGCATTGCTTCTGTAAAAAGATCTGTGTCATAAAATAAACTGCTCTTTACGCCTGGAAAAATCAGTTGCCCACCATTCACCAAAACATACGGTCAAAAACGCGGAAATAAACAATAACAGCAATCCAGAGTGTCCGTGTGGCATTAGCATTAATTAAATTAATTGTTAATATAATTAAAATAATTAAATGGAGCTCCAACTGGTATTAAATCTAATGTTTTTGAGAAATGTTTGCATTGCTTGTTAATTTTTGCTGCATAATTTGATCAAATATGTAAAACATGTCCGTAGCACGTTAAACTGTGGTGCCATTGTATTAATATACAATTATTTGCTCAAAAGTTGCCCTTTTTTTCCAATTTGCGTTTGAATATCTACATTTATTCTCATTCTTCTGTTTAATGGAATGCACAAACACAGCAGCGCGCCATCAAAGATGGCGTCTCCGAGGAGGTCATGTGACATTCATTGGTCTGTGGGAACTATGTATAGAAACACTCAGGAAGCACATGTATTTGTATGTAACAGCATTCAATTCAATTAACTTGTGTATTGTCATTTCATAGGACAAAGTTGTTGATTCGCCAACCACAGATCAGAGAATCAAATCATTCTAACTTGTAAAATGCAATAATAACAAACACATAGAAGCCATTGGTCCATATGATATATGTACTGTATATATACTGTATATGATCACTATCCAGAAATAGTAATATATGTCCATGAATGTCCCAGACCCTCCTGCATTGGCAAGGAACGACTCATGGAGAAAAATATGATAAAACTCAAGGGGAAGAAAGGAATCCATATTGAAAAATGAAAAAGGGATCCACCCCCACAAACGGATAGGCTGAAGCTTCAGTCCAGGCACTTATTGATTGATTGATTGTTATTTATTTGAGCATTTTACAAACGTATTTTTCATTGTTACAAGGTTACACTGTTGTAAAGTGGCTCAAAAGGAGTAGGCTGAAGCAAGAAAGCTTATTAGTGCCCACCCCCTGTTCCAAGTGATCACTTTAAGCTGCAGACAATAACCGTAAACACAGGCATCATACAGTTTACATACAATAAACACGAGTTCCTGAGTTACCCAGGCACATGCACATCAGAAGGTGCATGGGCCTGTTTACTTACAAGCAATTAGTGAACGATCATTTCCATACATAGACACACCCAAGGCTCATGATACAAGCAAAAGATCTGCTTGTATCATGTCCAAAAGAATTCAGCACTTCAGAAATCACATATGGACAATCTTTCAGGAGCACAGGGACTGGCCTCCAAATTGATGAAGATAACGTCCTTCTCCTTATTTCCTTTGACCTTGGTGACATTAGGTCTTGAGTCTTACATTTGACTTGATGAGGTTTAAGGAGGAAGAAGAGATTTATTTATTACAAATTAAGACATAAACATAAACCAACAAGGTAAATTAGAGTGGGCATGTACCAGTAGTGAAAGTGGGAAACATGTATGAATTACTAATGACTAATTACTAAAGAATACTATATATTTCAATTACTACATTATCCCCTCTTCTTCTGCCACTTTGCTCTATTCCCAGCCCAAAAATACTGCTTATTTATCATGTGTTTACAGAAGACTCATTCCGGTAAAGCAGCAGCTGCATTTATTACATTTCCCCCAGGCTGTTTCCTCCTTCTTCATTTGGACCGTTGTGACTTGTGGTGGAAGGGAGTGATCAGCCATGGCAGGCCAGGGACTGTGATTAGTCCTTTGGGAATTGGACACGACTCAGTTTTCAGCAAAGAGGTTCCTGCCAGCCCCCCATAGAAGGACCAATCTAACTGTCATTAGCCAAGCGCACAAGGAGAATCTCTGCTTTCCACAGCTACATCCTACAGACCTTTCAGTACAAACATGCTTCGAGTTCAGGAGAAACTTTGCATATTTTGCATAAAAAAAGGTCAGTAGAAGTCCAAGTAGTTATAGATCTATCACCTCAGTTCTGGATCTACAGTCTGAGTTCTGGATCTGCCTCAGTCCTGGATCTACAGCCTCAGTCCTGTACATCTATGGGACGTACAGACTGTAGAAATCCCTATTTCAATATTCCTCTTCACTTGAGACAACATAGCTCCCCTTCTATTATCTATATTGGGATATTTTACAATAAACCAGATAATGCAAGAATGTTCAATTTTTCTCCAACTTACCAGTGATACATATTAATATGTTTTAACTATGTTGACAATAGCACAAGACTGAATGCAGCAGTTTGCCTCTTTCTTCTGTGCACCGAACATGCAGCCCAGTCTTATCAATCCTTTATTCATTGAAACAGGAAGTGCACAGCAGCCATCTGGACAAGCTCAGCCTCTGTGGTCATTAGAAACACAACACTCTCCCTCTCAGCGTTAATCTGCCCCCCACCATCAGTGCATTAGGCCAGTGCACCGCAGCCCTCTCCTGATACTACTCACTACTCCTTTCAAAACAATTAACACATTACACTTCTGCTTAAAGTTTTTTTTACAACATAACTGCTCTGGGATCAGACTCCTTTACGAGGACACAAATCGGCCCAGCCTCTGGTGTGAGTAGAAGAGACTCACCCGGTTAACACCACCACAAAGTCCATGACGTTCCAGCCGTTGCGCAGGTACGAGCCCTTGTGGAAAGCGAAACCGAGTGCGATGATCTTGATACCAGCCTCGAAACAAAATATTCCAATAAAGTAGGGCTCCGTGTCGTCCTGCAACAGAGAGCAAAAGCTTAGGACGGTATAGTCTGCAAAACATTAGTGTGGGACTCATGATAATTAACACGTATAACAATAACGCTGTAATAACACCCACCTCCTATTTTTTGTTTAATTTTCATGTGTAATAACAAGGACATTAGCATATTTTTAGACAGGAGAAACTCAGGTGACCCACGCAGGCAGGTTGAGACAGCTTGGGGGGGGCTTGGGAGGTCCTAATTGAAAAGTGTGCTCAGACCAAGCCCCGGCGATTCAAGATGGCGCCCTATTCAAATGAATGGTTGTGCTCAGTGGCGCTTTGTGACGGCATGGGGGCTGAAAGATTAGCGGAAGTTGCCTGAAACTCGCAAAGATCTATGGGAAACTCGCCTGTATTTGGGCATAGTCTGGTCCTCCCGGTTCTGCGCAGTGGATGATCTCCCATAATGCGTTGCGCCAAACACGCGTGTGTGGGTCTCACACCGGGTCTCACGCACGTGCACAGAGGGGCTCGGCCGCGCTCTGACCAATCAGAGCAGTTCCTCAGAGCGGGAGTTAGAGCAGAGCCAGAGGAGCAGAGTTTGTGGCACTAAAGTGTGGATTTAAACAAAACCAAAGGATTTAAGAAGAAAAAAAGTTCAGGATGACAAGGGACACTAAAATCCCCACAAAATCCGACCTTTATGAAAGCTGTAGGTTCTCTGTCAGCTGAGGTCGAGCTGTTTTAATATGCATTGAGTTCTATGGGGAAAATTTCTGGGTGGCCCACGTGAATTTAGTCTGGTTCAGTCTGCAGTACCGCGAGAATCCCCTGAGCACGTGAGTTATTCAGCTACAAGCTAGTAATACCCTATCCAGTTAATATAATACATCCATGGCTCAGACGAGGAATGCGTGGTGATGTCGTCTCTCTTGTGTTTCAGGTAACAAGGACTGTTTAAATATATTTTTATTTCATTTGTAACAGAATACAAAAGCTAAAAAACGTTCTATGTGGTATAACTAATTGAAAAGTGTGCTCAGACGAGGAATGCGTGGTGATGTCGTCTCTCTTGTGTTTCAGTGCAAACCACAATTAAAAATAAGGATAATCCTAAACACTCTGAACTTTTATTTATCCGACCACAAGTGCTACATTAGCCTTAGCCCCACTCTACTCCACTCTACTCTACTATACTATACTCTACTACACTCTAATCTGTTACGTTTCCTATATGCTTTAGTACCTAGTACTGTATCCTGGCAACCTACCCACAAAAAACCAGTATCCAGGGATATTTCCTTGGTACGCACACTAGGGAGTGTTTCCACCGTCCCTACTTTTCCACCGAAAGTAAAGATTTCTAACTGACAGTGATTGGCCAGAGTGCTGATGAGTCCATGGTTAATACAGAATTTCCCCGAATACTGGACTTTTGTGGGCAGGTTGCCAGGATAGGGTGCCAGATACTAAAGCATCAAGGAAACGCAACCGGGTAGAGTAGAGCCAAGTAGAGTAGGGCCAAGTAGGGCAGGTGGAAACGGAGCTGTATATGTAATGTGGATCCTCTTAGTTCCAGTACTAGACCTATACAGTATATCACAGCTGGCTTTCTGGAATGTGCCTACTTATTTATCAATGGGCATGTCATTGAGTCTGCTTAGTGTCTATGAGATGAGACCGTCAGGAGCAGATCAATGATGACAGCTGCTGGGGCTTGGTACGCTCTGTGTACAGAGCACCCAAAGCTCCCTGCCCCAGAGCACACAACTATGGATTCTTCTGTGTACCCCAGCCTTTTTAATGCATTGGTTTTATATGGCACATTTTGGGACTTTCAAAGACGCTTCAGAGCCTAATTTATTCACTCCATACACAGTGGTGATAAACTACTGCTGTGGCCACAGCTGCCCTGGGACACACTGTGACAGAAGCGAGGGAACCAGTCTGTGCCATCGGGCCCTTCGCCCACCATCAACTATTCAGACACACACCAGACTTAAAGACCTTATGACGGGTTTATTTTATTTAGAAATACAGTTTTAATACCATTTTATATTAGAAGAGAACTACTAAAGGTTTCAAAATCAGTTGTTGTTTATTTTGTCTGATCCCCCCAAATCGAAATAACCCCATAGCAACGCCCTTAGAAACGAAAAAACTTCACAGCCCTTGGTGACGTCAGAACGGGTACGTTTCAACGCTGTAAGTTGTTTACAATTTGGTATTCGTTCTTTTTTCGCGGATATTCAAGATGACAAGGCCGTGTACAGCGAGTGTGAGATAACTACTACAATGTAACATTTAGTTGTCACTGAGATAGTCCAGTGGTTGTGTCGATAGACTGCCAATCCAGACACTTGGGTTCAAATCCCACCTCGGACACTTTTTCACACTCAAAACGGCAATTTATGTGTAGTGAGCAATTGTCACCTGTAGAGTGCAGTATTGTGTTGGGCATCAGTGGAGAGAAGAGAGAAAAGGCAGTCCTGTGGCATAGATCCATGGTTTTCAATGCATGGGCGTAACCCGCTATGACGTCACACACAGGTTAGAGCATAGACAACTTAAATTCATGAAAAACACGTTCTTTTTATAAAATATAGGATTTTTTTTGCCGGAATCTCTTTCAAATTGGCATTATCATGCAATTTTGATATCCACTATTTTTTTTTTAAAAACCCGTCATAAGGTCTTTAAGGTGCTTTCACACCGCCGACGCTGGAACGCTGACGCCTCGCGCTCCAGACGTACATTCTCTAATTTTCAGACGCAGGGGTCTTCAGACTAGAAGTTCTGGGCTGCGGTGGCGCCCGCCGGAAGTGGCAGAAGTAGTGGGCGGACTTTGATGCTAACGGAGTTAAGCTAGTGGCTTTTTGAATAAAGTTCCTCCCCAATAATGCAGCTCTGCAGCGTCTCTGTGTCCAGAGACCTTCCAGAGACTTTATATAACAGCAGTATGTGTTTACGGAAGTGCGCCATACGTTTATTATTAAATGGTACTTACGACTTGGTGAACACGCTCGAAGCAGTTGCATAAAGTCACGGGAGCATGAGAACACATATTTTCACAAGCACTATGTCCCCCATTGTCAACCCTGGTTTAGTCCTAGTGTAGCTCCTGTTTTGGCTGTTTACGAGTATGTTCAGTCTGCTCGCTAATGTCCCTGTGACCACTTTGCAGCTCTCTGATTGGTCGCTGCACGAGCGTCTCCTGCTTGCGTCAATTTTCCTCTCCTGTGCCTTCTACCGCGCCTTTGCCGCACAGTCCGTGCGTGCATCCTGAGACGCACATGCAGTTCGACGCTCGAACACACGTACCATTGACTTTGCATTGAAAGTCGACGCAACGCATGATCCGGTCTGAACACCGCATTATTCTAATGTGGGTGAAGTGTCGTGCCCAAAGACACAAAGACCCAGAGGTCTCTCATCACAGTACTAACCAGGCCCAACCCTGCTTAGCTTCAGAGGTCTGACAGGATGTAGTTTTCCGCTTTTCATTTAAAACAATCACATGCACACCATCAGCTTAAACTGATACAAAATTAAACTCTGCAGCCACAAATGTCTTTCTAATCTTTTCACATAAATTTGTTTTCAAATTATTTTGACCAATTAGTTAACCAAACTCTCAAGGCACACTAACGTACCGCAGCACACTGGTTGAAAAACACTGCTTTGTTGGACCAGGACTCAGTCTCTCTTGTCTATTTATCCCTGTAGTGGAGGAGCCTGATTAGAAGGAGCAGGGGAGTGAAGAGTGAGGAGGGGGCTAAGCGGGTGGGGTGGGTAGAACAGCAGGGGTAATGTGAGGTAGCAGGGCCAGTGACGGCGAGAAAGAGCCTGGGATCAGAAGCAGCCGCGTGGGATCCTCTCCTCCTGCTGCGGCTCATGTTCATACAGGATTCAGGGAGTGGGACACATTTACAACTGATACCCTTTGGCGACACTTTTCTAAGAATTTAAACATGGCACAATTCCTTAAATGCCAAAGTTGTTACTGCTTACCTGGTCTTACCATACCATCGTACTCACTTAACTTCATACTTAGGTCTGGATTTGCTCAACTGAGCGGGCGGGAGGAGTCAACTCCTTTTGCAGATTGAAACAATTGGATCAGATTTTACAGTGTGTGATGTACAGTATGGAATGCACCCGAGTGATTAAGGTATTTAGCATTTAGGCTAGCTATGCCACTAACGGAGCCCGGGGGGAGTAGAGCCCATAGACTGTAAATATTAACGGACGTAGTCACGCCTATCTTCGCCGCTCAAACTAATGGCCCAAAAAATTTGCTCTACTGGAGCTATCCAAAATGGCCGCGAGTGGTCCTGCCCACAAGAAAATTGTGAAAAAACGCGTCTGCGCATGCGTCAACCGCCGAGGGCTCAATTCATTTAAACGAGTGCCTTCAAAAATTCAAAGTGAGTGGTCAAAAAAAATTCACTCCCCTCATTCACACACATGTAGAACGGAGCTTTGGACCAAGAGCCTACTTTTGGTCCATCCTGTAAAGACGTTTTTGAGAGGTAAGAAGATGCTATATTTTAGCATTAGCTATTTCTCATTCCGGGTCCATCTCCAACAGGGGTGGTATTGCAAGCATGTCAGCACACATCATTTTGGCCACTTTTGAGCCGGGACCCGCCCCCACTGGTAGAGCCACAACAAATTTGCTAAACATTCCTCTTGCTTCAGCTTTAATTCATTGATAATTGGGAGCCGAACCAGAAATGATTGAAGAGCTTCCTTTTGCATTCTCCGCCATTGTCAAACTACAAACTCTTGACAACACCCGCCTCCCCCGCTCGCTGAATGGTCGGATGGGATTCAATCGAGGTAACCGCAGCCACTAAGATCAGACCCAGACGTACATGTGGGGAAATAATAATTGACTGAAGTTTACGGAATGCTAAGGTTAGGCTTCTTTTAACCAAACTTATTATATTGTACTTCCTGCGATTTGTTTGACATGCTTGAAAACCTTGCAAGTCATGAGGTTTTGTTCATGAGATAAAAGAAATGTTTCCACCAATCCAACTCTACTCTACTCTACATTTCAATTGTACTTTAGTATTTGGTGCCGCATCCTAGCAACCTACCCACGACAAATAAGTATCTGTAGACATTCCTTAGTAACAATGGCCTCCAGCAGCACTCTCCAATCTTTGTCAGTTAGAACACTTTAGTATCAACTCGACCTGAAGAGAACCAGGACCAAGAGGAACTCAAATCGGACCTGGTACTGGTTAAACAGATCCGGTGGAAGCAATACCAATTGGGGCAGAGAAGAGCCGAACAAAGTAGAGTAGGGCTGGTGGAAAAAGGGCATGAGGATACAAACTGCTTCATGCGTGAGCTTGGTTATGGAAGATCTGTGCTCATCCTTTGAACTGGTCCCACACACGTATTCCCAGCCCCATCCATCCTCCACAGATATCCTGCTCCAGGCCTGACTAACTATAGACCATCTCGTAATCATTCAAGCAGATCACTAAGTAATATTAGCATGAGGCGACATATCATATGAATGCATGTATTTTGAGTGAGCCTAAAGATTGCTAGTTACAATATAATACAATATTTTCACGATGTTGCTGCATCTGTTTGCTTTGTGTCTCTACTCACCAGCCGCTCGGACATCGGTGTCTTGTCGGAGGCTGGGAGGTGTTGCTCCAGAGCCAGCACGATGCAGTTTGCGATGATAGTCGCCAGGATCATGTACTCGAATGGAGTGACTGGATTGTTAAGGAAACTTTGGAATTATGAAGCAATTGTTTACACAGACACACATGAGCACACACGCACACACACAACTACATACATTGTGTTTATGGAGAATGACGCTTGATTTCTCACCAGGTTCAATGCCACTCAACAAGGGATTAAAGAAAGGGCCTCATTGAAGTAAAAGCAAATCCAATATAAAAATCCTTGATGGTGAGAGTTGGTTTAGGTCTTACCTTGAAGACAGGAAGTACTTTGTGGAGATTGGAAACTGTGTCTCAGATCATATGGCCCTGACCTGTGGAGTACCACAGGGGTCGATCCTGGGACCTCTTCTTTTCAATCTCTACATGCTGCCGTTAGGTCAGTTAATACGCAGAAACGAAGTTTCCTATCATAACTATGCATACGACACTCAGATCTATGTCTCACTGACTGCAGGAGAACATGGACCAGTGGACTCACTCCTTCACTGTATCCAACAGATCAGTGAGTGGATGCAAAACAACTTCCTTCAGCTAAACGCAGACAAAACTGAAATGATTGTCTTTGGTCCCCAGAAACAAAGAGAGAGCGTCATCTGTCATCTACAGTCTCTCTCCCTAAAACCTTCAAACAAGGTCAGTAATCTAGGGGTAATACTGGACTCAGACTTAAATTTTAATAGCCACATCAAATCAGTAACATCAGCAGCTTTTTACCATCTAAAAAACATTGCCAGGATCAAAAACATAGTGTCTAAAGCAGACTTGGAGATTCTTATCCATGCATTTGTCTCCAGTAGGTTAGACTACTGCAATGGCCTGCTCACAGGTCTGTCCAAACAGGCTGTAAAACAGCTGCAGTACATTCAAAATGCAGCAGCTCGAGTCCTGACTAGAACCAGGAAGTACGACCATATTAGTCCGGTCCTCAGGTCTCTGCACTGGCTTCCTGTGGCTCAGAGAATAGACTTTAAAACAGCTTTGCTTGTGTACAAGTCTCTCCATGGCCTCGCACCAAAATATATTAGTGACATGTTAGTCCCTGTTAGTGCCCAGAGTCAGAACTAAACATGGGGAGGCTGCTTTTCAGATTCATGCTGCTAAAATCTGGAACATTCTTCCTGAGGATGTGAGACAGGCCTCCTCTCTGACTATGTTTAAAACCAAGTTAAAAACTGTGCTGTTTAGCTGTGCATACAACTGAGGGATTTTATATTTTTATCTTTCTTTTTAATGTTCTGTGATTATTTATGATTTTAATGCTATCTTGTTCAGCACTTTGAGTTGCCTTGTGTATGAATTGTGCTATACAAATAAACTTGCCTTGCCTTGCCTTGCCTTGAGAGTAATTTAAAATAGTCTCCAAAAATGTTTATATAGAAACGTGTGTCAATGATTTGAGAAAGTGAAACAATATACACATTATTTGAAAAAATTAGCTTTTTTTACTCAAAAGTTTATCATGTATAACGTTTTTAATGTTTTAGACCTTCCCCTGCTCTGGCCTGGAAAGAATCAGGGCGAGAGGGTTAAACGGGGCCAGTGGAAACACTCCCAATTGGGGTAGAGCAGAGTCGAGAAGAGTAGAGTTGGGCCATGTAGGGCTTGTGGGAACTATGCTTTAGACTGTACCTGACACCGTTTGACATGATTACTCTCTGACACAGAATGATGACATTGCTTGTAAAATCTACATAGACAGTAAATGTGATAAATGCAGTGTTAGTTTCATGGTTGTCTGCAGTCGATTGGTATGCGTAAGCATTAATCTCCCGTAAATGCTGATATTGCAATGAACACATATGTTATGGAGCTAGTAAAGGCCCCTCGAGGGCCCTAAAACCTGCCAGGCATGAGTGAGGGGAGAAGGGAAAGGGGAGAGGGGCTGAAAGAGCATGCCGAGGACCAGAGCACCATAATGAATCATGCTCATGTCTAGTACAAGTTTATAAGAAGGTTTCAACAAAAAATGTAAAACTTGATCTTCTGGTCAGTTCTCTGAGCTGAATTCATATTAGAGAACAGGTACACCGATCACGTGTTCGGAGAGCACATACCGTACCCTGCAAAGACCACAGATCATCTCAACATAATAATGGGGTATTCCTACATCCCAACTACAAACCGGCTCAATTCAATTCACTTTTGTATAGCTCTAAATCACAACAGAAGTTATCTTGGAGCTAGGATTGATTCACAGACTCCAAGAGAATCAAACAGTTAACCCTTTAATGGTTTCCTCAAGCATTTAGTAGATCACTTTGAGTCACTATATCTACTTTTAGCATGCATGTAACTGAAATCTGCCTCTTTGGGGCTTCTCACTTGGTTTTAGGAACTTTTACCATCAAACTGCATCTCAACCTTTTTGTGTTATTAGTGTTCCTATATCAAAAACACAAAATAAAAATGTACATCGGTTTATTCACGGAGCGAACATTAAAGGGTAAAAACACAAGAAATGTAATTATATAATATAATGTAATAAAACATAGAGCCATTAGTACTTAAGGGGCGGATTACCAATGTCCATAAATGTTAATAGATGTCCATAAATGTCGTTGAATGTCAAATGTCCTGGATCATCACCACTATCCTTAGACCCTCCGGCGTCGGCAAGTAAAAACTCAATCAATCTATCCAGAAGTTTTGGCGCAGTCCTGCTACAGACACACACACACACACACACTTCCCGCACTGTTCATAGAGTAATGAGCTTAAGGATAGATTATTTAATATGAAAACGTGGCGTGGGTCTAAACAGGGACCACAGCACTAGCAAGAGAAAAGGATGAGATCAGCGGTGATGAAAGATGGATTGGATAATTAATATACTATAATTTAAACCTGATTAACTTGGCAAAAAGCATGACAGAACTAAATTAGGGCGGTTTCTCAATTACAAGGTGCCCGAGGACCTTGGTAGACTGTGCACTCACTCGGCAGGCTACACATACGTGAGTCAGTTTTCAAGAAATTGGAAATCAATCAGAATTGTCGACGGTTTTATCAATAACAAGGTTTTCTGGTCAGACTCACAAAGCTGACAGACTAACAGTTGCTCCTCTTTGATGGTTAAAGCCACTCCCCTTTCACAATGCAAGTGATTAGTTGACCATATGACATTATCACTTTTTGCGTTTTTCTCACCAGTTTGTTGCAGGGGTTACATATCTAAAAATAACCCACAATAAAAAAAAATTAAGCAGATTTATGTTTTAAGGCTTTCATTGGTATAGATGTTTTGTCAGAGGAGTGAGGCTTATTGTTTAGATTATTTGTGTTGTTTTAATTTTAAGTTGTGTATTTGTCTTATTCAGGTAGAGAACTCACTTACTCAGAGGATAGAATAAAGCAGCTCTGCTTGTGCACAAGTCTCTACACGGCCTCACACCAAAATATACAGTAAATGCCATATGAACCAACTCAGACTGAGGAGCACAGGGACTGGCCTCTAGCTGGGACTCTGAGGAGCACAGGGACTGGCCTCCTGCTGGTGCCCAGAGTCTGGACTAAAGGCAGTGGGCGGTGATACAGATTTATGCAGCTATAATCTGGAGCTGAAATTGTGAAAATGTGCGATGGGCTTCTACTCTGATAATGTTCAAATCCAGTTTAAAGACAGTTCTGTTAAGCTGTGCATACAACTGAAAGATTGTCTCTTGACTCTGCATTGTGATTATTTCTTGTGTGATTATTTCTAACATTGTTAAGTACTTTGAGTTTCCTTGTGTACAAGAGTATTAGTATTATCCATCAATAAACATCAGGACTTTTGTTTTTGAATATATTATGGTTAACAAACAAAATAATGAAGTTAGGACTGAAACTGTAGCCTGCATCCCAGCGGCGGTCCCTATTCGACAGTTTGAGAACAGCCCCGCTGCATCCAGGCTGGATTAATGCCTGCTCAGCATCTGGAGCTAACCAAGCAGCCACTTAAATAATGTATACCATTACAACTAAATTTGAATTAATTACATCGCTGGTGTGCTCATGCTGAGTTTGCTACAGAAACTATCCACTGTGTGCCCATGAGAAACCAGTCAATACAGGAGAGTCAGGATGAGAGGACCATCAGGATGGACCTCCCTTGGCTGGAGGACGTTCAGATCCAATGATGCCACCTGAGGGCCCAGAGGATCTACAGGACAACAGCCCTGATCAAGGGCTGTTCACCTTGTTGTCATCTCCTCAAAGTATATACAATGTACATATAATGTTTAAGGCTTTACACACGAGAAGACAAAATGAACATTTTACATTTAGTACATATAATGTGTATGTGACAAATAATGAACTTGAACTCAACGGGTGGACCGGAATACATTCCATCCATCCATTTTCTTCCCCTTAATCCATTTCTGGGTCGGGGGGTTGGCAATCAGAGCATGGCTTCTCTGACAGTGACAATGTGTCTTTCCCTAAGGCACAACGAATTGGTGGACTCGAACCCACAACCTTTAGGCTCAAAGGTCAATGCTCTACCAACTGAGCCACTGTCGCCATTTCATCCATGTTGTAGTATAAATCAGTGTTTGCCACAGCCTGTGAAGAAACTGGCTGGAAAATGTATTTCAGTACCACGGACAGCACCACGGACAGCACCAGTCACAATCATTAAGTATGTGTAGCCAATTTTGTCAGCCAACCATGATTTCCAGAAACACTCTGGCCAATCACTGTCAGTTAGAACCCTTTAGTACTAGCTCGGCCTGGATAGAACCAGGCCCACGCAAGTACTAAATAAGTACCTGGTCTGGTACCACAAACTGTAAACGCTCCCAATCCGGGTAGAGTGGAGCCGAGTAGGATAAAATAGAGTAGGACCAAGTAGAGCTGGTGGGAAGAGGATTAAAGACTGGATCAGTGTATTCTTGCTATGACCTAAGTGGAAAGTTCTGGAGAGTCTTCCTATGCACATTTACATTTCAAAATGTCACACAAACCACACTTTTTACTGTTATATCAGCGTTGTGTTCAAAGGATATGGCCACTCTGTGATCTTTTTGGCATATTTGCGTATGATATTGTCCTCGCTAAAGATGAAGAGCGAGCGATTGACCGTAAGGCAGCTCTGTTTGACCGGGATGGGGTTGTACAGGGCCATGGTCCGAGCCCGCTGAGCCATGGTCTGCTTGTATATCCTGGGAGCCGCTCCACCAGGCTGCCTGCCCCCTGCTGCCCCTCCTCGGCCCGGGCAAAGGGCTGCGGGACAGCCTCCTCCACTGTAGCGGCTCGACAGCTCGTCTTCGAAGCGAGCCATTGTTGGATAGCACAGGTGTTGCTGCTACTGGAGAAACCGAAACTAACACCAGAAAGAGAGTGGAGTAGAAGCATCACAACATACGCGGTCGTCCCAAGACTTCAGCTGCGTTTGGTTTGCTTCATAATCCCTTGGAAAAAGAATTACTTGAGGAAGAGAAGTTCCAAAATCCAATCCAATTAAAATATGTTTTGGGCGGGCCCCAGCAATGCGATGCCCAGGGTCCCTTTAAACTGTCCAAACGCCACTGCCCCTGTCTCCTCGGTGGGAAAAAAGTGTTCTCAAAACAAGCAAAAATCAATTACCGCTTCCTGTCGGCCACTTCCCGCGTTTTTACTTTCCTCCATGTGTAATAAAGTCACAGATAGCATGATGCATCAGACTTGGGTGTTCCCCGCTGGCTCTCGCGTCTTGCCCGTATGTACAGCCGTATCTCACTTACAGCCACGCCACAAGTCCATGCTAACAGCAGACAGGGCACTTACCATCCGAAACTAGCGACGACACAGAAAGAACAGCGGAGATTTGGGTTAGATAAAGGCAGGCAGACTGACGCACGTGAAGAGCACGGTCCAAACCTGCTTTGGTAATCACCACAATCCGGTGTCAGAGTCGGTCCTTCGCGTTAGAAGCTGTTTTCGACGCTCGTCAGTGGTTGTCAGCCTCCTCCCAGTGCTTTCTGCTGGAGTATTCCCGTCTGGGCACTGTTTCCCATCAAGTGTGGACGTGCGCACGAGGACACACACACACACAGACGCGCGCGCATAGACACACGCACCACACCACACGCGCGCGCTGCTGTGGAGTGCCCGCATCACGTGACCCACCTGGACCAGCCCTGTCTCCATAGCAACAGGGAGGAGGGATGCAGCCAGAGAGATAAAATACTACTGTTAATACCACTGCTAGCGCCCAATAGTGTTTTGTACACAGTCACGCGGCATTATTAGCAGCTGTTCTTGAAAGTTTACTCACCCAGGCAGAAATGTCATTGTTTTAGCCACGTTTTTGATTATTATTGCTTTATTTAACCAGGAAAGTTAAACTGAGATTTCTGGGGAGTTATGGCCTCAGAGGGAGTGACCAACCAGAGAGAGAAGAGAGAGACACCAGACAGATACCAGTGAAAGACCAGAGAGAGAAATCAGAGAGAAAGGCCAGAGAGAGGGAAGGTATTGTACATGTTTTTAGTGGTATAAGGCAAACTGGAGCATCCTGGGAAAACCTACACCGTACTGGGGAGAACATGCAAATTCCACACAAAAAGGTCTGGAGGTGGACCCGGGACCTTCTTGCTATGAAGCACAAGTACTAACCACCTGCCAGGCACCTGCCACGGGTGATCAATGGAGTTTAAAACAGAATATGGACAACAATTGGTGTTAAAATGGCACAGGTGCAACAAGGAACTTATAGCACAAAACATTGAAGTGTTTTTTTCTGTCCCAGCGCAGGTTTTTTTGTGGCAGGCTGTTTACAACTCAGAGTACTTTAGTCTCAACAGTGTCTTATAGAAGCTTCAGGCATGGGTTTGGAAAAAAGGTCTCCTCAATCCTCATCTTCTTCACTTCAGTGTTGTTTGAGAATGTGAAATAATATCTTGAGAATGTATGGTGAACGAAGCACGGAGGATAACCAAATGCTTTCTTCCCGTTACTCCCCAAGCTGCCACCAGAAGGATGGTTCACATATGCGTTTTGGACTTGGAATTAAAAAGTTTGATCCAAGTGGTGTACAAGATCACCTCTCAGACTTTATCTGTCATAATTATACTGTCTGTTCATTGCTATTCAATCACTGTCCCATTGTCTATTTCATGCCGTGATGATGGGAGCCCTGAACCTGGCCTCTTTGACCTGGAGTCCCCTGGCCCAGACTCATGGCCTGCAAGCACAACCCTCCTCCATTGTTCTTTCTTGAGTGGTTCCTTGCTGATGTAGGAGGGTTTAAGGAGAGTGATGATCCGGGACATTTATTAACATTTATGAACCATGATCATGGACCATTGGCATCTATCTGTTTGTTAATAACGCATTCCCTGTGATGTGCTATGCACAAATACAATCAATTGAATCACACACAAAAACAGATGTTTACCAAACATGTTTACCAAAAAACTACAAGAGCATGTTTCTAGTGAAGCATTATTCAGTGAAAAAGTGGGGTTTTCTGAGGTTAGCTTTGGATTTACTGTACATTGTTCAGTCTATTAAAAAGTTAGGGCTCTTTCTTTGGAAATAGAAAAATAAAAGACTATCTAGCATCGGCCGCCTGACTCACTATACAGTTTATGAACTAAAGAATATCTGACAGAAGTTAAAGACCTGGGGAAAAAATGACAACAAAATAAGCATAATTATAATAATTCATGCCCCAAACAAAGACGACACACAGTCATTTCATCTTGACAGAATAGAGTTAAAACAGAGGACAGTTTATGCAAATCTGAAGAATAGTCTTGCTCCATGATATTAAAAAATAAGTTCTTGACTGGAGGACAAACTGACATAAGGGCGAATCTCTGGTTGCTGATGGTTTCCAATATGCTGTTTCAAGACATATTTTAGAAACGTTTGGAAACAACAAGCTGGGGTACCTGCTTTTCCAGCAGGAATAAGTGGAAGGAACATTTTGGTGTGCTTGCAAACTTGTCAACTTGATCAAAATAAGCGTAAACACCTTCAGAATCAAATAGTGACACACAAGGCTCTTTCTCACCGGAAAAGAGAGCATGTTTTCAATGTTTTCAGCATGTCTGATTTGTTCACAATGTTTTGCCTTGACCAGAGAATTATATAGTACAAAAAAAAAAGTTAGGTACCCCAGCTAAAAAAAGGGCCCCTTTCTCTGCCACAATAACACGTGAATAACATGTGATTTTACATAGGTCATATCAGCAGCAGACTTGAGCGCCCTTTAGTAGTTGTGTCTGGTTTTAAGCTGGTTGAAGCTGTTTTAAGCAGGTTTAAGCTGGTTTAAGCTGGTTTTGAGGCAGGGGAGCTACCGGCGGGTAGACGGATAGCGGCACTTTGTCGACCCGCACTGGCAGCTGAAGTATTTGCTCTTGATCTTCCAGTAGTGGTCTCCATAGTCAAACCTGTGGAGAAAACACGTCAGACTGATTAAACCATGTGTGCAGTGGACACATAGAGTTTTTTGTGCTTTTTAACCACTTCATTGGTTCTTCTCGACAATACTCTACAATACTCAGTTCAAACTTCCAGTTATTGGCCAGAAGTGTTGCTGGAAGTCAAGGTTACTAAGGAAGGAAAGGGCGCTTTGTTGTCTGTCAGTTTCTTGGATACAATACCAGATACTAAAGCCATACTAAATGCAAACAGGAAGAATAAAGCTAAGTCAAGAAGAGTAGAGAAGGGGCAAAGTAGGGATTGTGGAAATGGGGCTTTAGTGTGGATGCAGGTCTGGGTTTGAGGAACAATGTTGTACATGGTTGAAAGTATGTGTCCTTTAATTCAGACCTGGTTTCTTTGGAGAGTTATAAAGTGCATTCCACATGCTAGATATTGTATGTCGGTTTGATAATGTGCCCAATAGTGAATCGCACACATGTATGCCTGGGCTTTGTTCTGTCCTGGTGATACTTGGCCTGGTGTGAGGGACCCACCCTATCTGGTCCCCAGCCCGGATGCCTCTGCTGCAGAAGAAGGCGATGCGGGGGAAGCGCTGGTCCTGATGCATGGTGAAGACTTTGACAGCCAGCAGGTTTGGCTCACACAGATGGTTCACAAAGCGGCCGATGTTTCCATAGCGTCTGGAGTCGATGCAGTGAGCCTCGCCCACCTGAAACAACAGCTGTGATGTCAGGGGCACTTCAGGTTTAAACAGGAAGCAGCCAGTATTAACTAAGGCTAAGGGTAAAAGTGACACATCCTTGTACCACATGTACAAACTTAAAAGTGGGCCAACTTGGCTCGACTCAGCTCTACTCCCCCTGGTTGAATTTCCATAACGCTCTAGTATCTGGTCCCGTATCCTAGCAACCTACCCACAAGAAATCAGTATTCAGGGAAATTATTTGGTCACTATGACTTCTAGCAGCCATCTGGCCAATATCTGTCACTTCAGCTCGGCCTGGATAGAACCAGGGCGAAGAGGGACTAAAAAGGACCTGGTTATGGTTAAACAAGGCCAGTGGAAAATCTCCAGATTAATGGGGTGTGCCACAGCAGCAGAGTGGTTAGCACTGTCGCTTCTCAGCAAGAGTTCAAATCCTGATCGAAACAAGGTGTGAGATTTCATAACACTTTGAAGCAACTTTTGTTAAAGTTAAACTCATCAATCTATCAATGTGCAGAAGCCAGTACTTTTCCCTTGTTTTGTCTATCTGAAGGCCAAGCTACAAGCACACCGTGGAAGCTGCTGATTGGAGGTCTCCATGCCTCCGCTCTGTATAATACACTTGCATTCTCTTGTATCTGTGATCGTGTGCTTTGTTTGTGCTGTCTCTACCATCGACAATAAAACATGTCTTCTGTCTGTAAAAAAAAAAAAAGAGTCTTCTGTTCTCTAGATGTTACAGACAAGGCCCGCATCTTTCCACCACCTGAAGATGATGACAAAGTCTGGGATCGCGTCTTACATTCAGACAGAAGACATGTTTTATTGTCGATGGTAGAGACAGCACAAACAAAGCACACGATCACAGATACAAGAGAATGCAAGTGTATTATACAGAGCGGAGGCATGGAGACCTCCAATCAGCAGCTTCCACGGTGTGCTTGTAGCTTGGCCTTCAGATAGACAAAACAAGGGAAAAGTACTGGCTTCTGCACATTGATAGATTGATGAGTTTAACTTTAACAAAAGTTGCTTCAAAGTGTTATGAAATCTCACAAAGGCTTGGAGTTTTCCCCTGGGCGCTATGGTTTCCCTAAAAACATGTACAAAAGGTAAAATCCTCCAGCACTGGTCCTGACCAGGAGTATCAACATCTGGAGATGGGCCCGTTACTAAGGGCAATGAAGGATGGGTCGACTGCAGACTACTCTAGATTTGGACCACTTCTCCAGTCTGAATGCTGACAGACATGGACTGACTGCCCTCTACAGGCCTCTGTAAGCGCTGCAGCCTTCTGTAATATCCATGTGAAACTGTGGCCTCACCTTGTTCCCTAGGGTGAAGAGGAACGAGTCGTCCTCCCTTTTGTCTGCCTCCGAGTCACTTATGATCTCCCCCACGTATCTAAGGAAGGAAGAATCAAAGCAGCCTTGAAAAAAATGACGCCACGATTTAACATTTCAGACTGTTATTTTGAGAAAATAGAAACCCCCAAAATTTCACCTTTCATCATTGAAATCATTGACAATAAACACCATAACATTTAGTAATATTTAGTAATTTCCATTGTCTATATCCCTGTTTCCACCAGCCCTACCCTCACCCAACCCTCGTTGTGAGTATTGCCACCAGCCCTGTTTAACCAGTTCCAGGTCCTTCTTTATTCACTCTTGGCCCTGGCACTTAAGTGTTCCAACTTACAGTGATTGGCCAGAGCAGTCTAGCCATGGTTACCAAGACATTTTCATGAATACTTAATTGCTGTGGGTAGGTTGCTCAGAAAGTACCGATTACTAAAGCATAATGGAAACTTAACCAGGTAGAGTAGAGCTGAGTAGAGTAGTGTAGAGCCACGTAGGGCTGGTGGAAACAAGGCTTGCAAAAGTGAAAGTTCTTGAAGTAATTAAAAATATGTCATTGTTCAAATCATTGGAAGCAAGACTCAACTTGATTCCACAAAATATCATCCAGCTTTTAAAATAAAAAATGCAAACTTCAAACAGCTAATGACGTTCATCCTGTCTTTGTGTAGACATACTCGCAGATGAAGGATCCTTGTGGGACGTCCTGCATGGCCCTCACGCCCCAGCCCATCTTCTGTGTCCTGTAGACTTGGAGACGAACTCTGAAACAATACCACACGTCCTTTTCCGTTTGTCCCTTTCTACACAGTTAAGCACTTCATCTTATGTATTTATTTTGCCAATTAATAGTCACATTTGACTCATTCATCCTTAAGAAATTTTCCGCTTTATCTGTTACCGAGTCACAGGGACAGCCTTGTGAGCAGAACACAAAGGGGGGGGGGGGGGGGGGGGGGCTGATCCTAGTGTGTCATCAGTCCATGGGGAACTTCATAACCACTGGCAAGAAATGTTCCTAAATCACCCTGTCCATAGACCCTCCAGCATCAGTCAAGAACCACTCAAACAAAAAATTCCAGTGGTAAAAAAGTAAGAGAACTCAGGAAGGCCCACATAGAGAGAGGGAACAGACGGACAGGCTGCAGATCCAGGACTCAGATAAGTGTAGGCAACAGAGTTCAAAACATGAAAAAAGTAGTGGCTTATAGTCCAGGAATTACGGTAAATTAATCATTATTAAGTTAAAAAGATTTATAAGCAGAGTTGGAAATGATAGACTCCAGATTGAATGAGCTCTGAGCAAAGTCCCAGTCATTAAAAGCAGTAAATGGAAATGACACAAGGTCGAACGAGGACCTGATGAAAGGAAGATTATGGTTTTATATCTGACCGTGAGCCAGAGCATAACAATGGTTCACCAAAGACTAGGCCAGACGCACTTATGACTGCTTTGTATAGATCTGGTAGACAAGAATATTGTCACTGATTTTTAGCATCAAAGAGAAAAAAACAAAGCATCTCCATAAACACCACAGCGGTAAATAAAAGGGTCTCACCTCAAACCGTTTTGAACGACCCGGTTCCTGCACGACCTCCAGCAAGAACAAGCGTGGTTACACTCGTACAGAACTTGGGGCTCACGCTGGCAGAAATCCAGTGGTAGACGGCCCTCCTAGGAAAATGCAAAATGGAGAGATCGTGAACACTCATCTGTCTGGAAGATAGAGGAGTGTATTTTAAAATAAAATCATATGTATTCCAATTTCAATTCAATGTATTTATGTATAGCCCAAGATCACAACAGCATTCGCTAACAACAGAGAGATTCAACGGAGATTCAAACACATTGGTCCATGTTATCATTGCATTTCCTATGTTGATTTGCTGATCTGTTGTTAGGGCTACACATTAAAACATTGAACTTGGCTGTAAGGCAAGGTAAGGCTGTAAGGACATTTTCAAAAAAAGTAGTGGCTTATTGTAAGTAAGTAATGTTTATTTATATAAGGCATTCTACAAACTAAGGTCACCCAAAGCACTTTACAATGTCCAAAATTCATATATTGTCCCAATCATTCCACACCAGGTGATGACGGAAGTATTGTCTGACAAGTACTGACAAGTTTCTATTCTTTAGTTAAAAATAGGGACTTACGCTGTCGTACCAACACCGCAAACTCTGCTGGCCGCACATACAGGCCACAGAGGAGCAGTCGTCTGTGCAGCTGCAGTGCTGAAAGAGAACAGGTGGTCAGTGGTCAGCGCCTACAGCTTCATACACACACACACACACACACACACACACAAACACAGTACGACCCTCCTCCTCCACATTTAGTCACTTTACACACCACTAGTCACTGCTATTATTACTACATGATTAGTGCACACATCAGCACAGGAGTGATGTGATCGTGGCGTCTGGTGCCAGTCAGCATCCAGGATCCAGACTGCTAAGTCTGCTTGGTCCTTAAACAGAGTACAATTACACTGCCAGAGTTTATTATCTAGTATATTGAATAATAGATCGTGTTTGATGCGTGCATAACCTAGGTGCTCTCATTTCTCCTTTTATTCTACTGAAAATGTGCGCAACTATGACATTGAAATTTCTCCACTGAGGAACGAATATAGGTTTATCTAATCTTACGACCCTCCTCCTCCACACACGACCCTCCTCCTCCACACACGACCCTCCTCCTCCACACACGACCCTCCTCCTCCACACACGACCCTCCTCCTCCACACACGACCCTCCTCCTCCACACACGACCCTCCTCCTCCACACACGACCCTCCTCCTCCACACACGACCCTCCAACTCCACACACGACCCTCCTCCTCCACACACGACCCTCCTCCTCCACACACGACCCTCCTCCTCCACACACGACCCTCCTCCTCCCCACACGACCCTCCTCCTCCACACACGACCCTCCTCCTCCTCACACGACCCTCCTCCTCCACACACGACCCTCCAACTCCACACACGACCCTCCTCCTCCACACACGACCCTCCAACTCCACACACGACCCTCCTCCTCCACACACGACCCTCCTCCTCCACACACGACCCGCCTTCTCCACACACGACCCTCCTCCTCCACATACCTGCAGGTGCGTGATGTCCTTGTCAATGTGCAGGGGTGAGGTGATGCAGCTCTCTGGGATGTACTTAAAGCTGTCGGGACACGGCTCGTTGTCCACACCGTTTACACAGCTGATGGGAGACGCTTCGTAACCTCGGGAAATATCACTAAAGGGACAAAAAAAAGTATTCACTCAAAGATTATTACCTCAGGCCTAAGGAATTGCCAATATCTATTGAGTACATCACATCCTCAAATTATAATTTTGAGGTTCCCGGGAGAAATGTAGAGCATAGTCAGCCATCAACGTCATTGATTTGGATGTATTTTGTAGATTATGAATGGGAACACTACACTTTTCTCAGTTTGAATCCATATATTGTCAAATAGTTGTGTCTTCTTTCAAACTTCTTTTTGGCTTTTTGTCAAGATGAATGGACAGTTTTAGCATTTAGCATCAGAGAGGATATCAGAGAGACCATAGAAAGACAGAGAGAGACCGGAGAGAGAGACTAGAGGATAAAAAACCTCATCAACTACCACCACAAAAGAGTCCGAGCTGTGGGGGGTGGAGACTTCTGATCAGGGTCAGAAGAAGAGTTTCTGTTTTACCTAATATAGATAATGGAGAAGAATGATTAGCACTATCGCTTCTCAACAAGAAAGTCCTAGGTTCAAATTGTGGCCAGAACAGGGCCTTTCTGAGTGGAGTTTGCATGTTCTCCCCATAGACTGTAAACATTAATGGACGTAGTCACGCCTATCTCCGCCGTTCAAACTAATGTGCCATCACTTTTGCCGTCTATGGGGCTTTTCAAAATGGCCAAGGGGGCAGGAAAATGTGAAAACGCATTTGCGCATGCGTCAACCGGCACTAGCCCCATTCATTTGACGAGTGCCTTCAAAATTCCACTGTGACTGAACTAGACTGGTCCAAAAAAAATACACTCCCCTAATCCTTGACACACATGTAGAACGTAGCGTTGGGCCAAGAGCCGACTTTTGGACCATCCTGTAAAGCCGTTTTCGAGAGGTAAGAAGATGTTATACATTAGCATTGGCTAATTCTTTTTCTGGGTCCACCCCCATCGTTGGACATTTGTGAGCGGGAACGCCCCCACTGGTTCTCCCCTCTATCTACATAGGTTTTCCAGCCCCCACCCAAATGAAGATACAATTCTACTTTCATTGACCATTATTTAACTAGAGAGAGCAGCACTAGTTTTATCCACATGACGAGCTCGTGGCTGCACCTGCACAACACCCTCTCCTCAGGACAGTCCCGCCTCCTCCGTGCGTCCGTCAGCTTCTTGTTGGTGTTGAGTGCGCTCCACACTTTGGAAGAGTAATGGCAGCAGTCCAGAGGCGTGGCTCCTTCTTTGTTCCTCTGGTTTACATCCGAGCCGCGAGAAAGAAACAACCTGAACAGGATGGAGCACACAAAGACGATGTGAAGTCCTTGTCAAGACAAGAACCAACCATGTACTGGAGCCTTGAGAAAACTCCTGCACATTTGGTCATGTTACAACCACAAACATGAATATTTTAGTTTTGAAAGACTGCAATAAAATAAGACAACTACGAGCTACGAGGTAAAAGCAATGTTGTTAATAAAAATAAAAATAAATTACACAAGAGTTAATACTATGTGGAATCCCCAGCCCTCTGTCCAGTATTTTCCTCTATCCACCCTTCCAGTCATTTACCGGCATAATAACTGTACAAAGTGCTCTTTGGGTATGTTACGGCCGTCTGCTGCTGCGATTGGTTAAGCTCTAAGAGGTGAGCAGGAGTCGGGCTCTTTCCCCAATCAGCTCGAATTTTTCACTTGAGGCACAAACATCCCAGAACGATTTGCACAAAAGTCGCAGGGGGGGGTCAAACTCATTTTGGTCGAGGGTCTGAGCCTTACATGACACAGTCCAGGTGGTTTTCTCGGGCCGCAATGTGCAGAGGCAGATCCCCGTGGACGTTCACTGCGCTCAGGTCACAGCGAGCGTCCAGCAGAGCCTGAGCGATGTCATCACAGCCCGACAGAGCTGCCCAGTGCAGACACACATTCTGCTCCTGCACACGCACACAAAGCAGAGGAATGAGAGCAGATCACCAACTTCCAGCCTTTCGTTGCATCATATTATACATGATTAAACACAAAAAGGAATGGGAGGAAGAAAAAACGTATAGATTCCCACCTCTAATAGGGGTGGGAAAGATGATTTATTGTTACTTAAACCACACAATCTGTTTTCATGGATCATTGATGCATTTCCACCACAGTAAGCAGCACACGTACCTTGTCCCTGATGTTGACGTCGGAGCCCCGGGACAGCAGCAGCTTCACGATCTCTTTGTGCTTGTATTCGATGGCCCATGTGATCGGGGTCCACCCACCATCATCCTACACACATTTGTCGTTGTGAATAAACACGAGTGCGAACTTTGTCGATTCAGGTCCTTACCTGGCGGTTTATATGTTTGGACGCCCTGCTGAGGAGGTACTGGATCATGTCATAATGTCCCAGTTTAGCGGCGAGATGTAAACAAGTGAAGCCCATTATATCCTGCAAAAAAGGATATTCTGCATTAATTTTATACGCCTACGTTAGAGGATCAGTCATTTTCATCCCTGTTTTTGTTTTTTTGAGAGGAGGGTCTGAGGAAGTTTCTTACATTTAGATTCTTACTAGATTTAAGTAGTCCTATATCTCTTACAATGTTTCAGGACTTGACCTTATGTCTCTTTCTGAACCTTTTGTCACATTTATGGAAAAAAACACTGGAAAAAAAACTCAGGAGCCAAAAGGGGTATTGATATCGTAAAAAGAACCAATAATATTTCACTTTATCTGTCCTATATCATCAGGTTAAGCATGTGCCCTCTAGAGGACATCTAATTGTATTGTCAGTATCACCCTCACTGAGAGTTTGAGCTAATATGGCGTGTTTCATTTCAAAACTATTTTCAGTAAGAAGCGACCACGGCCCTCTACCGCTAACCCAACGTAGTCTAACCTTGTTCTGAAGCTCAGAACCTATAGAATTCAACAACTGACTTTATTTGAATCTACTGACATTTATTTTTGAGTCACATATTTATGGAGACAGGGCTACTGAAGCTGGTGAAATTTTAAACCTTTGTCATTCAGCCAACTTCAGCTCTGTCATAATATGGACATGCCATACCGTACCTGATTGATTGACTCATACTTTGCCTGAATCAAAACAGTTTTACAATCCATATCGTCGGGCCCTGGACAAATCGAATGAACTTAAGTGGTCATAAACATTGAACCCCACCAAAATAAGAAATAATTCAAAGTAAACATTATTCAACCCAGCAGTTTACAACACTTTAGCTGTGTTTTTGGTTTGGCTATAAACAAACTTTCCACTTGGTCTCTCTGTTCTATAAATACAAATGTTTTCTTTATCTGATACTGAGAAAATGGGGCCGCTTGAAACATAGGGTTATATTTATCAACCCTGGAGCTAAACTGTGTGTGCAAAGTGAAATGGCTTGTACAGTTTTAGTAGCTGAAGACGTGCATAGATTAGTTTGGTCCAATGTCGTTATACTTTTGTACGTACTTAAACCTCCCCCAAACTGGACCACACAAACAACCCCCTCCACTTCAAAGTATTAGAGTATCTTAGACATAGAGTATTCTTTAGACATTTATGCAATATCTCAAGCAATGCCGGACGCAATCTTAACCTAACGTGTGGAGGAGTGCAAGTTTCTTATTTTAATTCGTAAATCAAGCACTTCAAATAAATAAATGACTTGTCCTGTCCCTGAAAAAGCCATGTTCCGGCAGCTTCCCTCGGGCAGAAGATATCATTAGCATCTAGATGTGCTAACAGCTTCTTTAAACAAGCTCATATCAGTCTGAATAAAGCACTTGTTGAAACGGTTTCTGTTTATTGGTTTCACAGTGAAAATTGATTAATGTACTTTTTAGTTTGTTTTATTTATGTACTGGTTCTGGTAAACACTAGGGTACTTTTGTGTATTCAAATGTGGTTTTACTGCAAAAGCAAATCAACTGAATTTGAATCTGACCTTGTGGCTGACCGAGGCCCCCGTCCTTATCAGGTACTGCACTGTGTCTAGCTGGTTGTTCTCACACGCCACCATCAGCGGCGTTCGCTGGTCGTCATCAAACGTCTCAATGTTGGCACCAGCCTGTATTTTAGAAATTAGGAACAAAACGTGTCACATCATATTTGGAATTTCAATAAATACGTTTTGATTATAACTGTGTATATTGAAGTAAATTAATTCAAGCAGCAGCAAAGCTGGAAAAATAAGTACAAACACTACAGCACGTGGCCGTGTAAATTCTGACTAGAACCAGGAAGTACAACTACGATCACATCCAGTCCAGCTCTCTGCACTGGCTTCCTGTGGCTCAGAGACTAGACTTTAGCTTGTGTACACTAAAGTTAATCTGTGACATGTTAGTGCCATATGAACCAACTCAGACAGGGACTGGCCTCCTGCTGGGACTCTGAGGAGCACAGGGACTAAACATGGGGAGGCAGCATTTCAGATTCATGCAGCTAAAATCTGACAAAGTACTGTACAGACAAGTGCAGAATAGGCAAGAAGCAAGAATAAAATGACACAAAAATACCAAAAATATGCATCTTCATATTTTTTATGCACTGTGATTATTCATGATTCTAATGCTTTGTGCGATTGTTGTCATCTTGTTTTAATAAATAAAGTGTTTTGTTAAGCACTTTGAGTTGCCTTATGTATGAAATGTGCGATACAAATACATTCCCCTTCCCTATATATAGATGTTTTTAAGATAAAGGAAATGAAAGCATAATATACTGTACTTTCTCGTGCTGAAGAGGAAATGCATGTGCACACAGTGGACAGGGCTCACCTGAACGAGCACGTGGCAGACCTCCTGGTGTCCCGCGGCCGCTGCAGCGTGGAGGGCGGTCCGTTTGCTCTGGTCGTCCACATAGTTCGGGTCTTTTCCGTCCACTGCCAAAAACCAACCATGATGATTCAAGTATTTATACAGTCACATGTTTGTAATCAGACAACAGTGATTACCCAGGAGATGGAGCACTTTCTGTAGATCGCCCTGTTTGGCAGAGACGTACAGCTGCCGCACAGGGTACTTTGTTTTTTTGGGTTTCAAGCTGGCAAAAGAAGGGCATTTATCATTTATGTTTTCCTTGGAACCGTGCTGCCAATGTGTGCAAAGACAAGTAAAAAAGGCCTCACGATTCATCCTCCAAAGCAGACAAGATAGTCTCCAGTGACTCGTTTGGTCTGTCGGGTTCACCCATCGGCCTGAAGACATGTAATCATCTAGTCCATTATTTATTTATTTAGCGCATTTCACTGATCAAGGTCAAACAAAGCACTTTACAATTCTTGTTATATCAGAAATGTCTATTCACTCCACAAACAGTGATGACAGGGAGGCCCACCCCCCTGGCATTACAGCCTCCAACCATCACCATCCCCTCACTCTCTACATTCAGACCCATTCTATATGTTTTTAGTAGTAGGGGAAACCGGAGCACCAGGAGCAAACCGGAGCAAACGCACATGCAAACTCCAGACAGAAAGGCCTTGTTGTGAAGTGCTAAAGACAGCGCCACCCATTTTTGTCTCAAACACATGATCTTGTGAATATTTCCTTTGGCATTTGTACGTTATAGAATGTGAAATGTAGAAAATATGATTAAATAATAAGTGTATAATGAATTCTGCTTTTATAAATGTCCATCTAATGTAGTGTCGTCCTTGATTGGAGAAATCCCAAAGAGGATTATTTTAAGAGGATAAACTTTTATTTTAAAAACACTCACATTGGCTCCGTACATGTAGTGTCATGGCAACAGGACTTTAAAACATGAGTATTTGGGGTCATGTTTGTGTCTGAAGTTGCTGATATTGAGGATCGTTTCCACCTACCCCCACTCTGACTCTACCCCACTCTCTCTGACTCTACCCCACTCTCTCTGACTCTACCCCACTCTCTCTGACTCTACCCCACTCTCTCTGACTCTACCCCACTCTCTCTGACTCTACCCCACTCTCTCTGACTCTACCCCACTCTCTCTGACTCTACCCCACTCTCTCTGACTCTACCCCACTCTCTCTGACTCTACCCCACTCTCTCTGACTCTACCCACTCTCTCTGACTCTACCCCACTCTCTCTGACTCTACCCCACTCTCTGACTCTACCCCACTCTCTCTGACTCTACCCCACTCTCTGACTCTACCCCACTCTCTGACTCTACCCCACTCTCTGACTCTACCCCACTCTCTGACTCTACCCCACTCTGTCCTGGTCCTGTCCCTGTTCTGTCCCGTTATTAAGGTGTAACCACTGCGCCACCCCATCCCCTATATATAATTTTCTAACAGATGGATTGATGGCTAGGGGTTTCCAAACTGGTCCAGAACCACACCAGCCCTTTCTGGACCGGTTTGGACAAAGAACTGGGCCATCTTTCTCAGTTTCGAACAAAAAGCAATTGATGAAAAGTGACAACCTGCTTGCTGAGGTGGCTCCATTCCTCGGGGGCTGGCAGCTCTTCTTCGCCCGCAGCGTCTGGGGGATCGCGGGGGGTGTGGAGACCGAGGCCAGCGTGGCCACAGACGGCAGGGGGGGCCCGGGGCTGGACCTGGGCACCGATGGGGAGGGATCTGGCTTGGGCACTCTCACGCTGTGGGCTCCGGAGGCGTCTTCCCCACAGTGCGGGCAGAAGCGGTGCTCCTTCAGGATGGAGGCGCAGTCGCGGTGGAAACGGTGAGAGATATTTCCATACGGCCTGCACTCCATAAACGAGCCCTGCAGCAAGACCCAGACTCAACCCAACGAGAATAAATCCATTTTCAGCTCACAAACAGCAAAAACAAGATATTTATTCCTTCCACATATACACCGGTCCCAAAGGGAAAGGAGATTTTTTTGTTTTTATATTTGGATGGAAGTCATTTAGAATTTTCTAAAAGTGTATGCCAAATTGTTATTAAATCATGAATGTAAGGAATTAAAGTATCGAAAGGAGGCCTTAGTGCATAAACTAAGCTAAACTAAAAAACAAAATCCCAGGTTCAAGGCCTCTTTTACTCTTTTATGTACTTGGATGGTTTAATGTTTCTTTTCTTCTTTCTTTTCATGTTGCGTTCCTTTGTTAAAGTACTTTGAGTTGCGCTGTGTACTAACTGTGCTATACAAATAAACTCTACACGGCCCCTCAGCTGCTCTAGTAACAGGACCAGCCGAGAAAAATGTACCTCAGAGCCAATGTGTTGCAAAAGCAGCATAAAAGAATTGATTCAATGTGTTTTGCCTCTTGTTACAGGTGTGATACAGAGTTTTGTTTATGTTGACAATAATCACACAGAAAGGAAAGGGTTTACAGCAGAAAACTGTGAATAATTCAAACAGATTCAAGAAGGATATCACAGAAAGCCCGACACATGTTTTTGCAGTCGACCACTCACCGCTCGGCAGAAGAGGCCACAGCCCGGGCAGCACTGGTGCTTGACCATCCCCGCGCGGTGGTCCTCACACAGAACCAGCAGGTGCACGGTTTTGGATGGACGCATCATCTCCTGCTTCACCACACGCCGTTGACAGCGACTAAGCTGAGAACAGATAAAAAGCCCTGTTTCATCCACCTCTACTCATCTCTACTCTAACTGGTTACGTTTCCATTATGCTTTAATATCTGATGGATCGGGAATCAGCATCTCTGTCAATTAAGCCGATATTCGGAATGTGCCGATCTATTCAATGTGATATGTTTATTTACATCTACACATTGCTCTGCTGATGCTGTCAGAATAAATAACTTTAGGGCTGCAATGATTCATTAATTATCACAGTATTCCTTCTTCACCGTGGAGGATGTCTGGGTAGAGCTAAAGAAGCCCCAGGGGAGGAAGTCTGCACGGCCTGATGGGAAAACGGCAAGGCTCCTGAAGAAATGTGCAGCGAAGTTAGCTGAGCCTCTCCATACCATCTTTAAATAGAGTCTTCCGACTGAATGTGTCCCTGCCCGATGGAAAACCTCCTGCCTGGTACCTGTCCCCAAAGTAGCAAGGCCGACAGCAGGCTCTTGACCCCCTGCAGTGTGCCTATCAGGACAAAATGGGAGTGGATGACGTAGATCTCCTTCCTGGATGGCCCTGGAGGATATGTGAGGCTGATGTCCTTTGACTTCTCCAGTGCATTTAACACCATCCAACCTCTCTTACTGAGGGAGAAACTAGAGAAGATTGGAGTTGATTCCATCTTTACCAACTGGATTTACAAATACCTCACTGTGAGGTCACAGTATGTCAGGTTAGGGAAGAGCATGTCTGGGACTGTTGTGAGTAATACAGGAGCGCCACAGGGTACTGTTCTGCCTCCCTTCCTCTTCACAATTTACACTTTGTACACAACTCTGCTACATGCCATGTAAAAAAATACTCGGACGATACCGCTGTTGTGACATGTGTGAAGGGGGGATGAAGCAGAACAGGGAGGGACATTAGGGCCCTAATGCAGGGCATCCTGGGTAAGTCCAGACACCCTCTGCATGACATTGTGGCCGCTCAGAGGAGATAGTCCTGGTTTAGTCCTGGTGTAACTCCTGTTTTGGCTGTTTACGAGTATTTTCAGTCTGCTCGCTAATATTCCCGTGACCACTTTGCGGCTCTCTGATTGGTCGCTGCACGAGCATCTCGAGGAAAAGGTTCAGCAATGTTTATCTCCTGCTTGGGTCAATTTTCCGCTCCTGCGCCTCTGCCGCGCAGTCAGTGCGTGCGTGCCGAGACGCACATGCAGTTCCATGATCAAATGTGCGTCACCATTGACTTTGCATTGAAATTCGCCGCAACGCATGATCCGGTCTGAACGTGGCTTTATCAAAGCAACAGGCTCCTATCACTGCGCTGTCAAACGGAACGTTTCAAGAGATTCCTTCAGCTGTCAGACTGTACAACAGACCTGGATGAGTCTTCTGCTGCTGAACACCTATGGGGGATCAATAAAGTATCTATCTATCTACACTCAGGAGCACAGAGACTGGACTCCAGCTGGTGTCCAGAGTCAGGACTAAACATGGGGAGGCGGCCTTTCAGATTCGGGCAGCTGAAATCTGGGTCTTCCTGAAAATGTGAAAGACTTCTACTCTGAAAAAAATCAAAACTATGTTAAAAACAGTTCTGTTTATCTCTGCATACAACTGAAGGATCTTCAGTCTTTTTAATGTACTCTGATTATTTATGATGTAAGTGCCTTGTGTGATTTTTCTATTCCTTTGTTTTAGCCCTTTGAGTTGCCTCATTTAATAAACTGTGCTATACAAAAAAACTTTCCTTGCTTACTATAGGATCTATGCTCACCAGGCCGTCGTAGCTCTCCATGGCCATGCAAGTGTGGTCCTGTGCAGAGAGACTTCCTCCGTTGTAAGGCGTCTCCATTCGACAGCAGCAAAGCGGCAACTCCTCTGCCAGCTCCGACTCAGTCACCGGCCCTTCTGCTGCAAAACCTCAACATCCAACAACACATTTACATATAATTTCCTGCCCATTCATGATTTCAATTTCAAAAAATAATTTCAAATTTTCAATTTTTACTTCAAAACTACGCACGGGGGGGGGGGGGTACACTCGAGTCTACGAACAGCTGTGGCTGCGAAATCCTCCATGGGTCTAATGCAAACGCCAAAGTATACGCCCGCCTTAAAAGTCTACAGAAACCACACGCCACATGGATGAGTGGCACATGTAGGAGACACTCACACAAGACACTGGTCTGTGGTGGAGTAGAAGCAGCGCACACACTAGTGGTGTTTCAGTGCATTCATTCAACAACGCAAACAATGAAATAGGGGTGAGAAAAAGTAAAAGCCCTGCAATTCTATTCATCTGCTCATTCCAATCGGACTTGTATTCAAAGTTGTCTTTTGGGTTTTTCTGTCAAAGGTACATGAAGAACAGAGACTGATAATCTCTATCGATCTAAATCGTGGTTGTGGCAAATGTATCTTAAATCAATTGGACCGCAGCAGGTGTATTGAGAATCAGGAACAGAAATTCCTTGTTAACTGAAACTGGGACTGAGGGTTGATTGGAAAGTCCCTGGTCTGTCTGAGTCTGACAGCAGCATGTTGTGGTCACCTGTCTGTGGGGAGAGAAGAGCCTCTTGAGCGCGCAGGTCCAAACACTCCAAGTCCACCTCTGTGTACTCTCCACTCTCTGTCTCTGTCTCCAGCAGGGGCACTCTGTGGGGGAGGAACGGGAGCATGGGCAGCTCCTGAGGCTGCAGCCTCAGCTCTGTTGCCTCCTTGGCCTTCTCATGAACTTTCTCATGGACCTTCTCCTGGGGCTTCTCCAGGGGCTTCTCCAGGGGCTTCTTTTGAGCTTTCTCCTGGACCTCAGCTGGCTGTTCTTTCTGAAAAACAAAATGTTTTTAAGAATATAAATGTTTGAGTCCCACTTATTGTGACATTTCCATGTTACGATTGATTCCCTTTAATTATGTTATTATAATTTACCATTTTTATGTAATTTCTAGGGCTGGGACTCGCTTAAAATTTTTTATCTAATTAATTAGATGCTTTGTAGTTAATTAATCGCAATTAATTGCATTTTAATCGCATATAAATATTTGACCTGAGAACAGTGAGAAGTGATACATTATGCATACGCGGGCACGAGCCAGCTGCAAGTTGCATAGCTCACCCTCTCCTTCCCACTTTTCTTACTTTTTAGCGTACTTATTTTTATTTTTTCTCTAACTGCTGTCATAATACAGCTGGATGAAGCTAGTGCCCACTTAGGAAGTGAGACACACCATGTTTTTCCACCGTTTTCCTCATCATAAAGTTTGGATTATACCTGTGAACAGAGATGTGCCCACGCGCTCCCATTGTTTATAACCGGGGCCAGCTGCTGGCGCTGCGGAGAGCGGAGGTCCCTCTGGGGGACAAAAACACTATTCCTGCGGAGATTCTACGGAGAACAGCCAGAGGCTGCTGCGCGGGATGGAAGGTACGAAGGCAAAAGAGATTCAGACCTGCAGTACCTGGCGTGATCACCGATAATGTCCCTCTCCAATAAGACTGACGAGCTAGCGGCACTGACGCGTTACCAGCCATGGTTACCAGCGGGAGTACCGTGACGCCAGTCTTTACAGAAACATGGCTACACACAGAAACTCCTCCAGCGAGAAACGTTCCGCGGTAAAAAAAAAAAAAAAAAAAAGATTAAACTGCGTCAATTTTTTTTACGCACTCATTTTTGTGTAATTAATTCATCTTAATTAACGAGTTAAAGTCCCAGCCCTAGTAATTTCATAGTCAAACTATAATCATCATCATTTCTACTTTTTGTACTTGGTAGTTTCATTCCCACTCAGCAAAAACCTGTGTATTTTGGGGAAGCTAGAAATGTTTTGGATGTGGTCAATTTGATCTGGAATGAGCAGATTGAATGTGTGCGGTAATAACAGGCAAAGAACATAAAAGAAGAACATACCTTGTCCTGAGGTTTGTTGCCCTTCACCTTCTTTTTAGGCACTAAGTTATATTGTCCGAGTTTTCTTTTTCTCTTCTTTGCTGTAAGAGAAAATATGTGACTTGGAAAAAGGAACATGTCAGGTCTCCTTCTGAATGAGAAAAACCTCACCTGCTGGTTTGGTGGAGCTGGTCGTAGCTGCTTTTTCTTTGCTTTTCTTTTTTGTAGGTTTGACTTTGGCAGGGGGTGCAGGGGGCGCCGCGGGAGCAGGGGTGGACGCCTTGACAATTACAGGCCTTGTGGCTTTCTTTATGGAAGACTGAGAACACAAAGAAGTAAATAAAAAACAAAGGACACCTGTCAGTCTGCAGATGGAGGCACTTTGCTGGGAGAGGTATGACAGCAGCACTTTCTAACTTTACCTCATTATGGCTTAAGCTGTAGACTGTTCATTGATACTCACCCACTGTCCCATCCTCCATTTCATGGAATGATGATGGGACCCCTGAATCTGGCCTCTTTCATCTGCAACTGTGAACTGATCTCCCCTGGCCCAGACTTGAGCGCTGCACACCCATCCCCACCTGGGAGCCTCTTCAGCCATGCACCACACAGCCCCAGTCCTGGATCTACAGCCTCAGTCCTGGATCTACAGCCTCAGTCCTGGATTTACAGCCTTAGTCCTGGATCTACAGCCTCAGTCCAGTATCTACAGCCTCAATCCTGGGTCTACAGTCTCAGTCTCAGTCTGGAGGTGGAATCAAACTCTGGACCTTCTAGCTGAGAAACTCGACTGCAAACCACTCAGCCAATGTGCAGTCTGACACCTTAGATCAGTGTATCCCAAAGTGGGGTCGCGGGAGGTCATAAAAAAAATAATAATAATAATATAATTATTTAATGTTAAATTTATAATGTTTTGTTTGTAATATTAAAATATTTGTGTTCATAATATGACTTGAATAATCCACTGTAATCATTTTTGTATTACAATGTTTGTAGCAGAGGCTATTTCCCCAAAATAAAATAACCAGAAGAGCCTTAATGTTGTCTTCTTGGTTATTATTTTGGGGGGCCACGCAGACCCGTCAGATTTTTAAGGGGGCCTCGGCGTTACTGAGTTTGGGAATGGCTGCCTTAGATCAAGTTGAAATAGGTGTTTCTAGTTTGAGGAATCTTTTTGAGATAAATACATGATTTTACCTTTGGCAAACCTGTATAAAGAGGGAAGCCACTTAAGCTATCTCCTCTCAACATGATGGAGCAGAGACTCTACTCTGAGATCCTCTCTTCACCCTATCTTTAAGTGAGCACCAGGCCCGTGTGGAGGAAACTTTTTTCTGGACTTCTCAGCAAGGTCCTGGGTTTGAATCCCAGTCTGAAAAAAGGGCTTTTTATAGTGGAGTGTATCTGCTCCGGTTTCCTCTATTACTAAAAACATTTACAGTAGAAAACATCTTCCAGTCCTGACCAAGAGCATGAAGATCACAAGATGAGGCTGGGAACGTAGACTGTGACTCCAGAGCTTTGACTGCAGACGCTACTCCCTATTCACCACAACAGTTCGATACAGCAACTGCATCGCTGTCATTCTCACACATCCTTCTCCAGCTGAGATATTCTGAACCCCAACATAAGACAGTGTGACCAAGTTAAACTGGACTACTGACCTTTGTGGGCGCTGAGGGCTGACCCGAGCTGGGAGCCGCCTGAGCTAGAGGCTTGCCTGGGACCACCGGTGGAGGACTCTCCTGAGGCTTGCTGGGGCCCGACAGAGGGGAGCGGTGGAACGGGGTCATCTTTTCTCTGCTCGTCTTGGATGGAGGAGGTCCATCAATCTTAGAAGACAAGTCCATGTCTGCAAACAAATGCAAGTGCAGAGAATTTATTTTGGAGGAACCTGTACAACACTTTTTGACAAAGTTATTAGCAAGACATTTGGCAGTACAAGTCTTGACTTCAGCCTAAACCCCTTTCGGTCAGGCATCGTTTAGCACTTAATATCCATGGTTATTTCCTATATTTAAAAATGCATAAGATCTTTGATGATACTACTACTACTACTACTACTACGAGGGCCACCCGAGTTCACCAGACTTTCCAGGGGCTTACTATCAAGATTTTAAAACGGTTTGGACTGAATTTGGGCTTTAAAATGGTTTATGTGCAAATTACACATAAACCCTTAGCATCATATATGGAAATTTGAGACATAATCAAAAACAAAGGTTATAGACAGACCTTTGTTTTTGATGGTGTCTCAAAATTCCGTAATATGTCTAATGATCTTTGCAACAAAATTTAGCATGACTGTATTGGTAGAAATGAAGTTGGCTGGATGACACTGTTTATCTAAAAGACTACATTAGGTTAGCGACACAGACATGACACGGACTGCCGCATTTGGCCCGCGGGCCTTAGTTTGCACACGCCTGCTTTACAGAAATGTTTACACAGCAGTAGTTCCCAAAGGTGGGGGCAGTTCAAATTGATAATCAAGTGTATAATGGGACCCCCGGAGCTCTAGACTTGGGGAACAGATGGTATATAGAGGAATACATACGATTAGGATTTTTTGTTTTAAACAATAAAAACAACTATACATTCTTAACACTACTCCTTACATCCCGACAATAGCACAATAGACTTTACAACAGTAGTATATATGTGTGTGTGTGTGTGTGTGTGTGCGTGTGTGTGCGTGAAGTGGCCCGTTGTGGATGTGGTGGTGTCCCGGGCGCAGCAGAAGTTACGCTGCGCTCACAAAGTAAAAACCGGAGGAAACCCTGAGCCCTGCCCCCGCAGCCCTGAGCCTATGAGGGAGAGAGAGCGAGAGCGACATGTGCGTGTGTGTGTGTGTGTGTGTGTGTGTGTGTGCGTGTGTGTGTATACGGGAGCCCACCGGGAGCCGTACCCGTGCGTCCGTGCGTCCCGATCTGCCGTGCCTCTGCTCCGCCGTGGGGGGGAGGGGGTCTCCTTCGGGGCTTGGCGACCAGCATCAAAGAGAGAATCACCGCCTCCTACTGTTCCGGAGTGTGGCCCAGACTGTGAGCTATAATTGCAGAAACTAGTAATGTTTAAAGTCAATATTGTATTTAATGTGTTTATTTATTGTTAATTAGATTGTTTATTTTCGACCCTGTACAACACATATTTTAACATATTTCAATATAACAGGAAAATAAGTTCAAAAGTTCAAAAAGGGACTGGATGAGACTATGATTTTTTGATTCCACAGACAATACACACACATACACACACACAGACACACTCACACACGAACAGAGACAACACTTATTCACGCATGCACTCATCGTCTCCGAGGACTCTACAAAGTTGTCCATTACTAAACAACAGATCAGATAATCAAACAGAAATGCAAAAAAAAAAAACAAAAAAAACCCATGGAGCGGGATGACCACAGACAGTAAACCACTGCTCCTGATAGAGCCCTATAGCGTCATTGCACAATGGGTCAAATGCAGAAGACAAATTTCCCTACGGTGATAAATAATGTGTTCTAACCTTAACATTAAATACGAATTGTGAGAAACGTCAAGGCCCATCCGCACCAACGAGCTGTAGATCCAGGACTGAAGCTGTCGATCCTGGACTGAGGCTGCAGATCCAGGACTGTAGCTGTAGATCCAGGACTGAAGCTGTAGATCCAGGACTGATGCTGTAGATCCAGGACTGAAGCTGTAGATCCAGGACTGAGGCTGTGGATCCAGGACTTCAGAAACATAACTCTGAGATGAAAAAGGACCAGTTAGAATACACAAATAAAACACAGACAGCAGCTATAAGAGTTCACATTACATTATAACATGTTGGGCATTTTCTTCCCCTTAATCCATTTCTGGTTCTGGGGGGTGGCAGTCAAAGCTGCACCCTGTACACCGAGCACCAGCCCCTCACTGATCCTCCTGCAGGTGGTGAGTCCACAGGAGCCTTGATCTTCCAGCGGGAGTTTCAGGCAAAGTGGGGTTAAGTGTCTTGCTCGAGGACACAACAACAGCAGTCATCAGTGGGAGTCGTGAAGTCGGTCTCGTGGTGGACTTGAACCCACGACACTTACAATGAGAGGCCAAAACTACGGGGCCACTGTGGAGGCACAAACATTGTTCACACTTATTATTCAGAACCCTGAACCTGATCTCTTTGACCTGCACCTGGGAACTGATCGTCCTGGGCTTGGACTCCTGGGCTGCTCCCCCCCTTCCAGCCCAGGAGCTTCTTCAGTCCTGGCTCAGTCCTGGATTTACAGCGTGGGAGCGAATCTGTCACTCAATGTGAGGAAACTTATTTTTAGAGTGGGGCTCTTTCTTATAAGAGTGCAAAAGTTTTCATTACGCACACAACTTACAGTATTTAAGTAAGTAAGTAAGTAAGTAAGTAAGCTTTATTTATATACCGCCTTTCACAGACCAGAGTCACAAAGCGGTTTACAATTGTTTTTTTTTTTTTGGGCACTTGTCCACTCACTCCACACAGAGACAGGAGTGGGGTATTTCACAGTTTCAGCACAACGCCCTGCTGCCTGTGCACTTTGGGAAACTAAAGTTTATTTGTATAGCACAATTCATACACAAGAAAACTCAAAGTGCTTAAAAAACAATATGGAAACTATCAAACAAGGCATTCAAATTATAAACGATCACAGTACATATAAACATGTGAAGACACAATCCTTCAGTTGTATATACAGCTATAACAGAACTCTATAAACCTGGATTGGAACATTGTCCAAGTACAAGTCTCACATTTTCAGGAAGACTGTTCCAGATTTCAGCTGCATAAATCTGAGAAGCTGCTTCCCCATTGTCAGTCCTGACTCTCACCGGCACCAGCAGGAGGCCAGTCCCTGTGCTCCTCAGAGTCCCAGAAGAAGGACAGTCTTGTTCTGGGAATGGAACCTCTTAGTCTACTCAACTTGTTTTTACATTAAAATGTTTGGACAGAAGCCAGTGAAACAGCAGTCCTCTATCAATCCAGACGATGGCAGCATTTCTCCTGCACGCAGCCTGCTCCGTGCGTATCCCCAGAGTCTGTCCCAGGCCGAGCGCAGCAGCGTGCCAGGGGCGGGGCGAGTCCTTCCGCGTGCTTCCACTCGTCCGGAAATAACATCAGCCCTAATCACCAGTGTGTCATTCTGTTTTCTGGGTCCAAAATGCTGTCAAGAACCTTTATGCAATGAGGTCAGCTTCCCTACGGCGACTGTCTAGAGCTGTCGTTGTTTTGGCACTTATACTTCTATCTTTTTACGCATTTAGAGAGAGCAAAACATCTCCACTGCGACTTGGCTTCCTGTCAGAAGACGACAAGAGACTCATATCCCCGCAATCGTACAAATACATCCACAACCAACCGCGCATCTGCAGTGAAAGAAGCGAAATCCTAGTAGTTTTCCTCGTTCCAGTTTCCCCTCGCCAAGTGGAGGCGCGAGAGGCCGTGCGTAAAACCTGGGGGGCGCCTGGTCCGGACACTTTGACACTGTTTTTTGTGGGATCAGATGGAGACGCTGAAATCCAAGGCAAGGTGGAAGAAGAAAGCAGGCAGCATGGGGATATCATTCAAATGGATTTCGTTGACAGCTATCAAAACTTGACCATAAAAACCTTAATGTGCATGCACTGGCTGAGCGTGCATTGCCCACAGTCGCTCTATGGGATGAAAGTGGATGCTGATATTTTCGTGAATATATTCTACCTCAAGAAATACCTCAGACAAAGCCCACGTACCGACTTTGTCACTGGTTCGGTTATTAGTGATGGAACACCACGACGCGACAGCAAAAGCAAGTGGCACATATCGGAGCGAGACTACATAGAAGACGCGTTCCCACCGTATGTATCCGGAGCTGGGTACGTTTTCTCTCGGGACGTGGCTGGACGGGTGTCGTGGGTGTCCCAGTTCGTGCGCCCTGTCCCTCTGGAAGACGTGTACGTGGGCTTGTGCCTGCGCGCCTTGGGTGTGAGCCCCCAGTACGCGTACAGTTTGGGGGCCGCGTTGCCGTTCGTGCACAGTCTGTTCGAAGTGCGGAGTCTGGAGTATGACAGATGTGGATTCGCAAAGTTGATCCTCGTGAATGGGTTTAGTTTGGAGAAGCTGGTGGACGCGTGGCGGGATTTTACGCACGGGTACAAGGACTGCTAGACGTTTGTTGTGTTAACTCTGCGTCATGCTATGGGGTCCTAACTTAAAATAGTCTTGGTGATCCTAAACACAAGTTCACAGTGTCATCCAGCCAACTACCAATATAGGTATAATATACCTTATTATAATAGTTAGGCCCTCTGGAATCCAGTTCTTTACGTCGTTACGGGCCACTGGAGTTCACCAGACTGGGCTGTTCCGGGGCATTTAAAATTCATATTGATTTGCATTTAACATAAATTAAGTTTACTAGAATTAGGGGCGACAGTAGCTCAGTTGAGGCCTGAAGGTCGTGGGTTCATTTCCCACCTCGACACCGACTCCCACTGATGTCTGCTGTCGTTGTGTCCTTGGGCAAGACACTTAACCCCACTTTGCCCGAAGCCCCCGCTGAAAGATCTCAGCTCCTGTGGACTTACCACCTGCAGGAGGATCAGTGAGGGGCTGGTGCTCTGTGTACTGGGAGCAGCTCTGACTGCCCGACCCAGAAATGGATTAAGGGAAAGAAAATGGATGGATGGATGGAAGTTTACTAGAATTACTTTTCCCATTACAGCTACATTAGTGCCGTACAACAAATTATATAAACAACATGCTTTTATTGGTAGGGCTGAAGTTGGCTGGATGACACGGTGAACTCTCAAAGACTACATTTTGTCAGCAGCTGAGGGCCATATGGCATGACACAGAGAGCCGTGTTTGGCCCATGGGCCTTACTTTGGACATACTGTCTATTTTTATTGTGTTCCAATAATCACAATAATGCCTTTGTCAAACTTGACCATTTGAATGAAAGTTGTGTTTTGTTGCACATATTTTCCTGCTTGTAAAACCAAAGATGAGATGCAGCCAGCGTAAGTTCAATTTGGTAGACGTCAGCCAAAGGTAACCCCTCCAGGCCGGTTCTCATCCCCAGCCTATCGCACTGCAACGCCCCCTTCCAATCACCGGTCAGCCAGGCAAGCTGCTTAAAAGCGGAGGAACTCCATTCTCGGCCTCTTGAAGCTGCACCACCGCCTCCCCCTCCTCCTTCTCTTCACCCTGCTTCATTCTGCCTTCAATCTGCTTCCGCTGCCAAATGCCGCCACCAGTGCCTAGGTCCCGGGGGATTGGCACGCTCCATCGCAGAGCCCTCCGATCTGAAGGCCGCACCGGGGCTAGGGCGCCAAACCTCCTCCCAATAAATACTCAAAAGCTTCTTGTTTCACGTCTCTCCAAATTGAACTGTTTTCTTTGCTCTTCTATACACCTGTTTTTAAAGCTGCCTCACTTTCAAACTTGAACCTTGATTTGAGTTTAAGACTTGCCATTGGAACAAGAATGTTTTGGGTCTATATTTATTATTTGTTATTTCGGTTATAAGAGTTATTCAAGTGTTCTCTTCTTTAAAATGGTTTTAACACTTGGGGTCAAATCCAATGCTGTTTTTTATGTCTTGTACATGTAATATTCTTGCCTTTTCTAACGTTTGCAGGGGTTCAGTCCAGTGTTTATCCGTGTTGTTTATTTGCTTGAATGCTCTGAAGTGCAGATACTTCTGTACACCAATGAAGCCAAAGTTTGTGTGAAGAAAAAACGGTAAAAAATAGTAACATTTAAACCACACTTTGCTATGTCCTCACAGCTGAAGTCCTGAAACTAAAATGTATTTGTTTTGTGAATGTAACATAGGAATAAGCCATAACTGTCTAACGTAAAACTTATACCGGTGTGTGTATATGTTGCATTTTGCTCTCTTTATTCGAAATCTAATGCAGCTGTCAGAGGGCCATTATATACCTGTATACCTCTGCTTGTGTATCTGTTCAATTCTATGCAAACCCAAAGAAAAGCCTTCATCGTGTTGTTGTAATGCTTCACTGAATCCAGCAGAGAGCAGTACTTACCCTCAAAAAACATGCAATACGTGTACTGTACTAAACTAATGCTTTTTAAAGACATGTTCTTGAATTCTAACTGCACTAATGATTTTAGATATTTTTTGTATTTGCACTGGGTTTTGTGCCTTATGCTGCTGTGTGTCTTGATGTAACGTGCAACATTAAAATTGCTCAAACGTCTCTTTGCATTTGATTTGAATTGTAGACTGTGAAGAGAGATTTGAATATACTTCTCTAATCTCAGCACAAGGTGGAAATGGTCGTGTGTGTGAACTAAGACAATACTTGAGTCCTCCACTAACCCCTTAAAACTCACCACAAAACAGGCCCAAGTTCTGTTCTGCACCTACATCTCACACTATTTATAATAATAATAATATTCCAAAAATGCAGAATTCGCCTTTGTTTTGATAACAATAATGATAATAATTTGGACACCCTAAGACGCTCATGTCTATCACTCCATGCAAGGTGGTGATAAAGTATACTGTAGCCACAGCTGTCCTTGGGGCACACTGACAGAAACAGGGCAACCAGTATGTGCCATTAGTCCCTCCAACCACCACCAATCATTGACAAGCATTCCAGACTCATACTGGTAAAGTGTCTTGCCTAGGGACACAACGACAGAGGTCCACAGGTTTCCCATCTTAGTACTACCTAGGCCCTGCCCTGCTTATCTTCTGAGATGTTTGACTTTTGGCAGTTATGGCCACTCAACTAATGTAGCGCAGAGCAGAGTGGAGTAGTCTGAAATATGCAATTAGTCTGTGCTTTATTATGATTTCTCATTTTATTTTTAACATTAGCCACAAGCATGGAACTGTCAAAGAGCAACTTTTGGAAACGCTGGTGGGCGGAGTCTGCGGTCTCCCCTGGCAACGCTACAGCGCGCTCTGTGGCAGCAACCAAATTCAGCAAAAAAGACAAAACAGACACCTCATTCTTCAACAAAACATATACTTTTAATGGAAAACATCAACTCCAACGTTGATCACGCGAACACATAATCATTTGCCAGACTTTATAATGCCACAAAGACACAAAGTTATATCATTCAATTCGCAAGAAGAGGGGAGGGCGAGGAGGCAGTGGGAGGAGGTGTTTTCCGAAATGGGACGCAGCCCGGGTTTTGCGTGAGTGGTGTTTTCGAGCCGACGCAGAGAGAGCCGCGTCTGTCCACTGTGCACATTCTGAGGATTGGACTAAACTACACTAAATACAAACTAAACGCCCTAAACCAGCGGAGGTCACGCAGAAGGCGGGATGGCGGTGCTTCGGACTTCACCGGGAGTGTAGAGAAAGGCTTTTTACGGACGGCGTCCCGCTCCATGTAAGTAACGTGGGTGATGTGCAAAAGTTACATCTTTAAGTATTCTTACAGTAAATGAGGATGCATCGTATTCGCTTGTGACCTACGTACGTTTCTGTTTATTTATTTCCAATGTATTTCAAATTACAAGGTGTATTTTTGGAATGATTGAGTGAACTATGGCTTCTTAAGTTTTCCATTTGTTACATAGGCACGAGTAGTGTTTACAATAACGGCGTGAGATAACCACTTCACACGTGTATCCATTGAAATTAGAAGCATGGCTAACCACTTCACAAGTCTCGTCATGAAATTAGAAGCCTGGCTAACGACTTTACCCTTGTATTCTTAAAATTAGAAGCACTTCTCCTTTTCAGCACTGTATTAACTTAAATGTATGGCTAACCACTCTAAATCTGTATTGATGAATTTAGAAACCCTCAATAGTAGCATGGCTAACCACTTCACACCTGTATTCATGAAATTAGAAGCACTTCACCTCTTCAATTCTGAATTAATGAAATTTGAAGCAGGGCTAACCACTTCAGTTTTGTATTTATGAACTTAAATGTATCGCTAATTACAAAAAAACTATTATGGAATTCACCTCTGAACATAAAAGCATGGCTAACTACTTTACATCTGCATTGATGAATTTATAAACCTGCATGTCGTTAGAAGCATGGCTAACCACCTCACAACCACTAACCACTTAATACCTGTGTTGATGACATTTCTGTGAATTTAGAAGCGTAACTAATCACTTTAAATCTGGATTAATGGACTGGATTAATGTGATCTTAGAAGCATGGCTAACCACTTCAAACCCATCTTGATCATTTTAGATGCATGGCTAACCACCTTACACCTGCATGAATGGGGTGATCTTTCTTTGCTTTGCTGAACTCACTTTCTCTGTTTTCTGTTGTCACCTGCAAATATCACTAATCCATATTCCAGGTGTAATTCAGCACTGCTGCTATATCCTGGTACAATACATCATGTTAGAACATAAAATAAATAAAAAATACTAAAAATCACACCAGACCACACCATTGAGGTTTCCTTGCAGTGAAAGCAACATCAATATTACTATTTATCACTTTGAATAAAAAGTTGTCAGAAAAAGTAATGTAAATCACAAATATCAGCAAGTACACAAGCTAAAGTCGCATTACTTAAAAAGTGTAAAGATAATTATTTATTTGGAGTTAATTCAAATGTTGCTTAAGTATGTTGCACTAGGACTTGCTTCATACTCTCAAAATTAAGACTTAAATGTGGAATTTTTCAAAAGGATTGTTTATATTTTTCTCTGCAATGCATTCTGGGTAGGGCTGCATGATATTGGACATTAGAGCGATATTCTTGTTTAGTATTTGATAACGATATTTTTTTGATATGGATATTGCATGTACCAATATTGCGATATTTTCTTGATATATCGTGCAGCCCTAATTCTGGGTATAGTGTCACTGCTTTGCCCAACAAGCTGTTTCTGTCATTAATGGACCGCCACACTTACAAAATAAATACTTAAAAGTATTTTCACTTCAAGCAATAAAATCAGTCTTGTAGAAGGTGCTATGATAACGTTTTACAGTACTTATTTTTCAACCAAAAATATGAAATTATGAAAAATGAAGTATTTGGATAGATAGATACGTTCTTGATCACCGTTGGAGAAATTCAAGTGTCCAGTAGCAGCAAAAACAAAAAATAAAATTGATCATTCTAAAAAGATAACAATAGTAATAATCAGCAACAGGCCTTCAGGTCACAGCAGCAGAGGTGGAGTAGCCTCTGGGTGGAGCAGGACAGGTCACAGTAGCAGAGGTGGAGCAGCCTCCGGGTGGAGCAGGACAGGTCACAGCAGCAGAGGTGGAGCAGCCTCCGGGTGGAGCAGGACAGGTCAAAAGGTGGAGTCGCTGCTTGGTTCGGACCATTTTCGCTGCTCTAGTCCAAAGTAAAAGGCGAACTGCTTCATTAGCATTTTTCAAAAAGTTGCCATTCCTTCTGTGGATTTTCACCTGATCCGCTTGATTTGGACCATGAATCCTCTCTGCTCTGGTCTGGACCAGTGCAAAACTATGCACACTGTACTGCAGCAACATCTCAGGTAGAAAAAAAGCAATAAAAATAAAAATTGTAAAGCACCAAACAACAACTGTTTCAGAGCTATTTAGGACTTGCAGCCGTTTCCCAGCGCATCTTTCAACAACAACAACACAAAAAATTAGTGTAGTATATAGTAATTACTTAAAAATATTTTACATCAGAGTCTGGTCTTCTGCACTTTTTACAGTGTAGTCAAACAAAGTTGTATTTCCAAAAACAACAGAAAGGAAATGAGTTCATAAATGATGTAACTGTAACTGTCTGTATCACCGTCATTTCCATGAGCTTCATGTCCGCTGCTTGTCTCATGTGTTTTCCCTGTGTCTGTCCTTCATGACCAGTGTCCACATTCTCAGCCTGTCCCGTGTCCGAGTGTCCCGTGTCATCTGTCTGCAGGATGCATATGAATAGCCTTATGAACCGATGGAGTAAGTAAAACTGTCTTTACTAAAAACTGTTCAAATGGTGAGTTTGTAATGTTCAAAATGAGAAATGACTAGTGATCAGGCCACCATGTCACCCACCATGTCTGGCCTCTGCTTATTGGTGTATACTTGCACCACTGAGCAGGAAATATTAGCAGAAGTGACGCATTTCGGCCCCTGGTCCCAGTCTGTGCAGTCGCTGCGCTGTTTGTGGTGATTTTTCCGGCTTAGGCGTTCAGAGGGGACTGTAGAGGGCAGGGTTTCAAAAGAAAATAAGTCCAGGATGAGAAGAAACACTGAAATCCCCACTGAACCCTATCTTTGAGAAAGCTCTAGGTTCTGTGTCAGCTGCCGAGCCATTTTAACATTGAGGTCTATGGTAACATTTCCTGGGTTGCATTGGTGAATATAGTCTGCAGTAGCGCGGATGTTCCAACAATATGTGGGGCCAGGCTTTAAAGAGCGACTAAACACCGAATCAACTTTTTTTAACTCATAAACTGCATTAATATGTTAATTGTAGTGCTCTCGACATATCCTGGTCATCTTTTTGACATTTTCGTTCAAATTAGATAAAATCTCACGTTTGAGCCAAAAAACATCTGTGTGGCGCCCTCTCTACCTTTTTTGGTGGTACTACATTTGAATTTGGTTCCGGTGTAACGCCAAGATGGGCCCCGTCCCAATACTCGCACTTCCACCCTCGCGCCCCTCATTTGCGCGTTCCCGATAAAGGGTGCGAGTGCGTAGGGTGTCCCAATTCTCCGGGGAGGTCTTTGGCCCCGCCCCCTTTGCGCCCCTGATCCACACTTCGCTGTAGCCTGCATCTATGCGCACTCTGGCGAAGGATATTGCCCATAATTCTTTGCGGTACACACCAAAACGTCGAGAAAATACATTTAAATATAAATTTTGAAATATATATGCAGTATGTGTGTAAATAAGTTTTGCTATGTTACTTGGAAAGAAGCATAAACGTCTGATGAAGATTTACGGACATTGTGTTTAATTTAAACTTTACACTTTGTAAAATAATCTTAGAATGTATAAAAACTGACCAGATAGTTAGTTACCCACATTTAACTTAAAATTATACAGCTATCTCTAATTAAAAACAACTAATATACATGTATTTTAACGTGTGTAAAGCAATTCATTTTGTTTCCCAAAGGGTCAGACAAAATAACCTTTAATGTTTATAAAGTTTAGGTCTGAAAATGACCATCTCTTGACGAGTCGATGACGTCACCTGCACTCAGTGTGCACTGTCCCAATTCTGCCTTTTTTGCACACTTGTAACCTGCGCACTCCAACCCTGGTGTGCACTTCGAACAAATGCACACTTCGCAGAGGTGTGTAGGGTGCAGTGTGGGTATTGGGATTGGGCCATACACTGCCTTGAAGAGATGCACTGCCTCAGCTGTTTATGATGTAATGCAAACCTGCGCATGCGCGTCTCACGGCAGCCGAAGCATACCAAGATGGCGGACCGTGAATTGCTTTAAAAGTTGAAATGCGAACGAATTAAGACACAAATGTCACTTTAATGCAATTTGAGGCGAGATGTTGATGGTCCCGTTTTGTCACATGTGGGTTTTAAGAGTCAAAGTTTCGTGCAAAGTTTAGTTTAAGCAGTCAACTGCGCCTGTGAAACCACAAAGCTAATGTTTTCATAGCAGTCCGCGGCTGCTGACGTAGGTTGATGACTCGTCCTGTGGCCACTTTACACTTTACACTGGTCTGTCGGGTTGATAATGGAAAATGTGGAAAAAAAGCAATCTAATTAAATATTTTGTTTGAACACACTATTGTTAATCATATTAAATACAGTACGATACATGTATTGAATGAAATTTATTATTTCCATTATCAACCCGACAGACCAGTGTAAGAGTGTAGAGTTGCCACAGGACGCGTCATCAGCCTTACGTCAGCAGCCGCGGACTGCTATGAAAACATTAGCTTTGTGGTTTCACAGGCGCAGTTGACTGCTTAAACTAAACTTTGCACAAAACTTTGACTCTTAAAACCCACATGTGACAAAACGGAACCATCAACATCTCGCCTCAAATTGCATTAAAAGTGACATTCGTGTCTTAATTCGTTCGTATTTCAACTTTTAAAGCAATTCATGGTCCGCCATCTTGGTATGCTTCGGTTGCCGTGAGACGCGCCGGTTGCCGTGAGACGCGCATGCGCAGGTTTGCATTACATCATAAACAGCTGAGGCAGTGCATCTCTTCAAGACAGTGTATCTCGGCGTTACACCGGCCTCTTCGTTGACTCTGTAATTCTCTATGACGTCATTTGGTTTGTGTGACGTCAGTCTGTCTGCACCAGTGATATAAACCCATTCAACTCACACACACCCCAGGAGCAGGTTGGAGTATTCTGGCGACATCTAGTGGTTTAAAATGAAATTACATGAGTAATTCTGAGATAATTGTGTGGATTAGATTCAAATGTGTAGCTCAACAATTATCTTAGTGTGTAAACAAGGGTGGAATGAGACTTTCTGGTGTGTAAACTATTGCTTTAAGCAGCAATGACAACTGTCTGGTTTTTTTTTGTATGACAAGTGAGCTGTCAATCACAGCCCAGACCAAGCCCAACTCTAAGCCCCCCTTCTTGTCCCTTGGGCGTCCAGGCAACGGCCTTTTAAGAGAACATTTTCAAATGTTCATGTGGGCGGAGTCAGGCTGGGCACAGGTGTTTAGTCGCTCTTTAAAAGCAGTGATACCATGTCCAGAGAATATGATACTTCCTGCTGGTGAAGGTCGCAGGACGAGTGAGATGGACTGGTGCTGTTATGTTCTTACTCATCAATGGTTTATGGTTCCTTTTCTGTTACACAAGTTACTTTTGTCAATCTCTTCTGTAACGTGCGATACTAGGTTAGGAGACGACAGGCTGTAGGATAGGCTCTTGTCTTTAGTCATGAACTATGTTGTGGTTTGCCCCTTAAACGTGATCTTGAGAATATATAACACAACTTTACATTTTTAAAGACTAACATTTATGGATAAACATGTACAACGGATGCATGAATGACGTGGATTAGTGAGACATCCCAATCTTGTGGTAGAAGTTGGGAATTACACTGTGTGCATTTCATTGTAATTGATCCATTGATTATTTATTTATTACATATTCAGTTGTTTGCATTTCCGTCTGCAGTTTTTAGAATATCATATACAATATTACAATATAACATTTACTATACACAACAACTTATTATTAAGCTGTAGAAAAACAAGTTATTATAATTTTCAGTATAGAGTATTTAGTATAGAGTTATGCTATACCTAATATTTTCCAATCTTGTGTTGTGTGCTCCCCATTCCTACTGCTCTGTATCTTGTGTTGCAATACTGACATCTCCTCATTGTGGGAAAAACAGAGGATTTCTTATTTTCATCGTAATCTTAAACAATTGGCCACAGCCAAAGACTGATGCAGCAGTCTGATAACCCACCAGCAATGCAACAAAATCAATTTTCAATCTATCAGTGTATTTTTGTAACACCCAAAATCCCTGCATTGACATGCGAGCATTGGACTTGAAAACTATGAATCTATAAACAAAAATACATTTGGGAATGCTTTAAATTATGATAAAATATTAAAAATGTCTCTAAAACAGCTAATGTTACTTATTTAACTCGTTGCAATTATAGAATAAACTACAAAAAGGGTAGTGTAAAAATCCTTTATGATTTCAGCAAACATCTAAATCTATAGATTTAATCATGAGACCACCCTGATTTTGATACATTCCAGACCTAAATATGTTAATCCTCACCACATGATCCAAAACACGCTATGAACTCAAACAATCATATATTTAAGAATGCAGGAGGTGGTTTAGAATTCAGAAATAGCTTTTTATCTTTGTATCTTTGTATTAGACACTCACTACACACATGAGATTGATATTTGACTACATTTAGTATGGGATTTTTAAAGAATGGAATTTGACTTTTGGAATTCCCAATACTAATTTAGTGACAAAACATTTCTGAAAACAGCTTTTGCGATTTTCAGACATACAACATCATCCTCAGACTTACACCGTGCCCATGAAATAGCAAACCGTTAATGTTAGCATAGCATAAACGCTACTTTTTATCAAAACCTTTGTGGCCTCAGTCCTGCTTCTTCCCCTCAGCGGTCTCTTCTACAGCTGTATGTTGTGTTCGCACAGCTTTTGACAGCTGCAGCAGCGCACAGAGCCGACAACTCCTGAAAGATATCCATCATGTTTGATTTCCTCGCAGTCGCACGTTCAGCATTCCTGCACCAAAATGGAACGTTCTCTGCCCAGCATCAGAACGAACACACAGTACTTTTTAGCACGTGTTTTATGGCTTGTGGTGTGCTTTGTTACATGAGGCCAAAGCAGGAAATATGGTGTGTTAAATTGCTCTGACGGAAAATTTAAATGATTTTCTGCTGTTGAGTTTGTGCGAAAATCAAATTCCTTAAATAACAAGATGCGTGTGAAAACATTTGCCAACTATGTGCATAGACAGTTTACATGAGAGACAGTTTATAAACCCATTGGTTTTCTTCAAATCCAGACTTTAGTGCCACAAACTGCTGATCTAGCTCTGATCAGCAGCGCCTGATTGGTCAGAACGTTGCTGTGCTCCTCTGTGCACATGCATGAGAGCCACACACGCATGCTCCTTAGTATTTGGCGCAAAGCATCATGGGAGGTCGTCCACTAAGCGTTCCACTAATCTTTTGGTGCCCATGTTGGCCCATGCGCTACTGAGCACATTAATTTGAATACTCCGCCATCTTTGATCGCCGGGCCTTGGTCCTTCCTTAGTCCTCTTGAACCCAAAGAGAATGGAGCAGCAGGAGTGCCGCTCTCATGATAGATGTGTGTGAGAAGTGAGTGGAGCAAACAGCAGTTATGTGGCACCAGAGTGAGAAGCCAGTGCAGCGTCACGGCTACTTCCACCTCAGCGTCAGCGAGTG